GCATGTTTGAGTGGCAAGAGATGTCTACTGTGTTGCAGGTGTTTTTGGGGGTTCTTTTGAGTCCCCTCAATGCATGCCTCTTCACTCCTGCCCTTTCCCACAATGTGGGTTGTTTGCAGCTATATGCTCAGGTCCCCCAGCTGCTGGCTGCTTTGGTTGCAGGTGACCTTCATGGCTGTTTGCACTTGGCCTCAGTTGTGCATATCTTGAGCCTCCTGGAACTTCATTTTGATTGGCTCTTGGAGGACATGGGATGCTCGGTGAGGATCCTCTTGTTGGGTTTTGGTCTCTGCTGCTTCAACGTTGTCTGCCCTCCTTAAGCTGTATGTTTTGATCCTCTAGGAGGCGGTCTCTTGTTTTTCACCTCCTGTCTTATGTGTTGGCGAGCTGTGTTGACGCAGTTTTTGGACTTGGCGTGGGCACTGGTTCTCATTTCTGCTTCCCCTTTTCCTTGCTTTTGTTTCCTGAGGATGTGGTTTCTGATTTTGTCGTCTGTAGCCACTGCTTGTCAGCCTGTGGAGGACTTGTTGTACTTTTGGGATGGTCGTTCTTGCCCTCTCAGCTGTTTGGTAGCCAAGGCATCACCTACTTTTGGTCGGGGTGGGTCCTCTGTGGTGCCAGTTGCTGTGTCGAATGTATCTCCTCAGTCCTTCTCTTCATCTTGTCAGTGCCGTGCTTGCTCTGCTCGCAAGAATGACATTCGAGGTTCATTCTGACCCTTTCGTGGGTTGCCCCTTTGACAGGGTGGTCGGGTGAGGCTAGCTCAAGTTTGCCAGCTCTTGGTCCTGCAATTTGTGGGCTTTTTGGATTGTGTCGTACAGCCTGCAGTGGAGGAGATTGATCCTGCCTCCTTTGGGGGGTTTGAGGCTTTCAGGGCAGGTCCCTTCCCCTCACCTTTGTTGGGTCATCTCGGAGTGAGTAGCTTCAGGCGTGGTCTAAATGATTTCATCTATTTGGTGGGTTTTCTGCCCGTTTCTAGTCCCGAAATGGGATTCTTTGGATCTCTGGTTGATTCTTGACCTTTTCGAGTTGAACTGGTTTATCCCATGCCCCTCTTTCCGGATGGCCATGTTGTCCCAGATCTGGCTCATTCTCAGGCAGGGCACTTGCATGATATCTCTGGAACTATAGGACACATATTGCCACATTTCTATCTATCCGAGATTTAGGGATTGGTTAGATTTTGTCGTGGGGTGGCAGGTTTTCTGCTTTCGAGCTCTCCTCTTTGGGCTGAATCTACCGCGTCACATTTTTTTGTGTTTAACTCCTGTCGTGGTGGCCGGTCTAAGGTTGTTGGATGTTGGCCTACCTTGACGACTGGCTGGTGTGGGCTCCCACCCAGTCTCCATTTCTGCTAGTCAGGGATTTGGTTCTTCCCAGCTCTCTGGGTTTGGGTTCCTGGAGAACTGGTTGAAGTCCCAGTTGGTTCCGTCCCAGGTTCGGACGAGGTTAGGCGTAGCTTGGGATTCTAGATTGGTATCGCTTTCCCTGTCTCCTGTGGCTTTGATCTGGTTACAGCACCACCTTTTGCTGGTGTTTAGGGGAACTTGGATGACTTGGTGGTTGCTTGAGCAATTATGTGGGTGCCTGAGCTTTGCCCTTCTGGTTTTTCCTTTGGGCAGGTTTTGGCTTTGGAAATTGTTCTGGTTCAGGGCAGCCGCCTTTGTGCCTTTTTGCAATTGCTGGATGCAGACTCCGGGGGCCCCTATGCTGGTTGCTGCATCCCTGGCTTCCTCTTCAGGTATTTTGGGGTCCAGTTCCCTGGTGCCTTCCTCTGCTCTTGCTCAACATTTTCACAGACGCTTTAATTTTCATTTGGGGCTTTATGACCAGTGCTCACCAGTCTCCTTCATCGGGTGCACAGTACGGCTCAGGAGTTTGGGCCATGTGGCAGGTGCTGCAGGAAATTTTTTTTTTTTTCTGTGGTTCATTGTTTCATCTGGGGTGCTGCAGGAAATTTGGATTTTTTTTCTGTGGTTCATTGTTTCACCTGGGGTGTTTGGTCTCTTCGGTTCCTGTCTATTTGGAGCTGGTAGCTTCAAGTAGCTCGGCTGCTGAGTTCTCATGGTTTGGCTGTCCGTGCTGTTCAGGTCCTGGGAGTGTTCAATATCTTGGCCAACAGTCTGGCCCAGTTCTTATTTTCACGGAATGGACTGTCGACGCTGCTTCCTTCCTTGGCTTTGTCAGGTGTTTGGGTGCCCAGATGTCGACTTCTTCATGTTGGTTTGGTCTCTGCGTCTCTCTCTGTTGTGGCGCCATTCCCTGACTGTAAGGCTCTGGCAGTGGATGCCTTTTGGCTGGACTGGTCATGATGGGGGGTTCATCTTCGTCTTTTTAACAGTCTGGCTGTTGCTTTAGGTTCTGGTGCAATTGGAGTCCTACAGGAAAAGGGTGATCCTTCTGGCCCTATGGTGGCTAGCCTTGCCTTGGCTTCCTGCCCTGCTTGCTCAGTGTCCAAACCCGGGCGTTTTTCAGTAGCTCCACCTCTTTCCACAAGTAAGGCTAGTGATGCACTTCATTGTTTCTCTGCTCTTCACATTTGGTGTTTTGACATGCGTGTTTCACCATCTCCGGTGATCAGGTGGCTGGTTTAATGGTGTCCCATATGTGGTCTTTCTCCCAGCAATAGTGTGTCTCTTGGCATGCTTTCCGCCACTTTGTCTCCTCATCATAGCTCCTCGATTTCTGGTCGGGTTGTTCTGTTCTTTATTTGCTTTTACTTGATCAGCGTCTTTTGCCATATATTGTCGTCTTTTCTCGTGCAGTGTAAGCAGAGCCGTTCCAGCTTGCATTCAGGGTTGTTTCCTCTTCGGTCCCGTTTCACTTGCTTTTTACACATTGTTTTGCCTCCGGCCTACTGGTGCACTGCCCGAGTCTGCCAGGTCTGTTAACTGGATTCTTTCTTTTCTTTCTGTTTCTGGTGGCCTCTTCAGTCAGGGTTTGTTTTCAGTGTGTATTCTTTTTGCGTTCTCTGGCTTCCAGTTGCCAGGTGGGAAGCTTCTTGCTCTTTTTTGGCACCAGGTCCCTTGTTCTATTGGCCCTCATGAGTGCTTTAGTTGCTGCCGGCTCTTCTTTTCTGGCAAGGAAGGAGTCGGTTGGCTTCCAGTGGATCCCTCTGGTGTCCTGTGATTGCTTTATGCCGCTACTTTCGTGACTCCGGTTCTATTTTGGTGGGCTATATGTGGTTTGCCCTGGTTTCTCTAGATCCCTATTCCAGGGTTTGTGTTTCTCAGGTCATCCGCAGTGTCCTATGGTCTAGCTTGCCTGCGATCTGCCCTCATGCCCATGATGTGCATTAGTCTGCTGACTTTTCGTCATTTTTTCTCATTTGCCTTTGTTCTTCTTGTGCAAGGGGTTTTGTTAGTCTATTTTTGTCTTGATCCCTGTGGTGTTTCCTCCTTCCTGGTTGGTGTCGTTTCTTCTCTGTAAGTAAATAGCTTCAGAGAGCCACAAGAGGCTCCCTGCAAAAAACATGTGTTGAATGTAATGAAACGCCAAATTTTTTGGTGAGCCCCTGTGGCTCCCTGATCCCCTCCCTCTCCCCAGGGCATTGGGGTGGTTTCCATCATCATAAGAACTGATGGTGGAGCTGCCAGCTGACCCAACTTGCCTTCCTCCAAACGAGGGGAAGAGGTGGGGTGAACTAGCTCACGCTAGTTTCACAAACTTTTGATTGTTTGCATTGATGGGGAGTTCTTTTGGTGGTTTTGAGGCTGCAGTCTTGTTTCTGGTCAAGCAGTGGTATATGTTGTTTTGCTGATTTTCTGGGTGCCTTCCCTTGGTGGTGGCAGACATGAATAACCTTACATAAAAGGTTTTCATAGTGCAATTGCTCCCTGTGCCTCTCTGAGGGGGGCCAGGTTCTGGCTCGTGTTGGCCAAGTAGGCCAATAAAAACTCCGCAACTGATGGCATTTAATTTCATTTAACGCTAGTTTTGTCAATGGGTATGGGTAGAGCGCCAATACTGGTCAGAGGGCGTCTACTTCTGTACCCAACTATGTAATGCCTTGTTGCTTTGTCCTCTTCACTTTGCATAATGATTTCCATTACAGGTTATTTTGTGTGTTCCCTTGGATGAATGTAGGGTATCTGAGTAAATATATGCCATGCTTATTGTGTATGTGTGTAACTTCAAAGAAAGGTGTATGTTGTCTTCAAGCATCACGTTAAACAAATGTTCATGCAGAAGAATGACTTGACTCAAGGAGAGGATTCCCGTTCACATAGATTAAGCACGTTGTATGTGTTGCAATTACAGTATATTGATAATGTGGGATATTGTATGAATAAGATGTATAATGACTGTGCCAGATAACGGTAATAATATTGATAATCATGTAATGATTTGTATTTCACATTATGGGCATTTTCAGCCATTACTAACGTTTGTCCATCTTTGACCTTTTTTTTTTTTTTTTTTTTTTTTTTTATATACCCCAAACTACAGTAATTAAGTAAACTTCTAAAATTAGGTTAGATCATTTTGTGTAACTTAAAAGTGAACAACTCTAGTAATTTCTTGTAGCTTTGTATATGCCAAGATGCTTTCTAATATGTCTCAAGTATGACTCCTTTGCTTTTGGATTTGTTTATAATGCATTTTCAAAATCTCTGGCCTTCAGCCTAGCTGCCATTAATAGTATTGCATTGAAGCTTTTATATAATATATAAAGCAGGTCATAGTCATTCTTATCACTATATATCTATTGTTGTTGATTAGTTTTGTATTTCCTGTAGAGTAAAGTTGCCATCTCGGATAACTTGTGCAACGGTAGAATTCAACTTCTTAAAAAGCTATAAAAGACTTGCGTGTTGAATTATTGTTGTTCTAGTTTCTAGATTACAATCCTGTATTCTTTGTATCTATTTCCTGACTATACACTCCAGTCTCAGAGTTTGAAGTTGAGTATCTCGAGTACCAAGCTGTAGTAGTAGTAGTAGTAGTAAATGATGGCACCGTTAGATATATTATAGCTAACACTGATGTATTGTCGGTAGCTGGCATCCCTCCCCCTCCCCCCATGGTGAAACTGGAGCCTAAGGTTGCGGCTGCAGACGATGGCCGTTCTGCATTATTTGACTCGATCAACAAGGGAACGGCTATCACTTCTGGACTTAAAAAGGTATGGTATTATAATTGCTGTATGTCCTCCAGTAATGAGCTTCTGCCCACAGTTTAATTTTTCAAGACCTGGAGGCAATATGTCAGTTATAAATCGTGTAGTTATTCATTTGATCTCTATAAATGGTTTTAATTCATTATTATCAGTGGTTTTATCTCCAGTATTTTGTTTGATACTTCGCATGGCCTAACTTTATAATCTTTTATCTAACTTTACCAGCTGGCTCTTAGATATCATGAAATTTATTGATACTCAACAATTGCCTGGTAATCAATATCTTTTACTGAAGACTAAATTGTAACTTTATTTTCACTCTCCTAAAGCCAAATTGGGCAGAATTTGTTCCATATCACTATGTTTATATAAATTTTGAAATAAAAGAATTAATACTGTAATTATCTAACACAGTATCTGTATACTTTAAACCCGCCATACCCATAGAATTATGAAAGTTCCCCTTTCAGAATGTTTATCTGTTGAAACAGGTTGTCATGTGTAGCATGATATACCCTCTCCATGTGGTATGTTGTGCAGCACAACATACCCTCTCCATGTGGTATGTTGTGTAGCATGATATACCCTCTCCATGTGGTATGTTGTGTAGCATGATATACCCTCTCCATGTGGTATGTTGTGTAGCATGATATACCCTCTCCATGTGGTATGTTGTGTAGCATGATATACCCTCTCCATGTGGTATGTTGTGTAGCATGATATACCCTCTCCATGTGGTATGTTGTGTAGCATGATATACCCTCTCCATGTGGTATGTTGTGTAGCATGATATACCCTCTCCATGTGGTATGTTGTGTAGCATGATATACCCTCTCCATGTGGTATGTTGTGTAGCATGATATACCCTCTCCATGTGGTATGTTGTGTAGCATGATATACCCTCTCCATGTGGTATGTTGTGTAGAACAACATACCCACTTCCTGCGGTATGTTGTGTTACAGTCAAGTTTCTCGCCCACACTCCCCAAATTTCAGTTGTGAATTAAGTTGCAATTTATAGTTGCCACACACTGCCCTTCAGTGTACATCTGCATGATGAGTAGAATTGCTATAGTAATTAGATGTCCCTGATAGGGCTACCTTATCGTTTTCTGTTTTCCCTTTTATTCATCATCTTCTTCTGGCAGATATTTGTTTGAAGTCTTGAATGCCTCATTGTATAAAGTAGTAACTCAAAATATACTTGAAATTGAAATAAGTTTATTGAGGTAAAATACACACAAAGGGATGAGGTAGCTCAAGCTATTCTCACCCCGTTCAGTACATCGTGTTAATACATACATAGACATACATCACAAACAATAAACATATTACCAAACATTCTGAGAGATAAACATATACATTTCCTTCAAAATATACTAGTTTCAGTGAGATAATTTTGGCAACTTTTTTTTGAATACAGCAGAACGGTGTAATTAGCAGTGTATAGCAGTATATATATTTTGTCTTGTTAATGTATGATGTCTTTAGGAGGTCTCATGTACAGTAATGCCTTGAAAACAACAGCATTTATGCCTTTTCATATTGATTTTATTCAGAGAATATTTAAAATAAAGGCAGTCATAAATCACCACTCACAAGGCCACACCACTCACAAGGCCACACCACTCACAAGGCCACACCACTCACAAGGCCTCAACACTCACAAGGCCTCAACACTCACAAGGCCTCAACACTCACAAGGCCTCAACACTCACAAGGCCTCAACACTCACAAGGCCTCAACACTCACAAGGCCTCAACACTCACAAGGCCTCACCACTCACAAGGCCTCACCACTCACAAGGCCTCACCACTCACAAGGCCTCACCACTCACAAGGCCTCACCACTCACAAGGCCTCACCACTCACAAGGCCTCACCACTCACAAGGCCTCACCACTCACAAGGCCTCAACACTCACAAGGCCTCAACACTCACAAGGCCTCAACACTCACAAGGCCTCAACACTCACAAGGCCTCCACACACACATTTTAGGTCAGCCCTTGCACTGTTTCTCGTCTTCATCCTCTTAGAAGACTTACGAATACAAGCCAGTTTCTTGTCATTCTTCGCTGATAACATAAAAAATGTTTGTGGAAATTTTAAGCCAATATTAACAAGGTCTTCTACTTAATAGTGTAAAATAATGTAATGTTCAGCAGTGACAATTTCCCATTACTTTGATAAAAGGAAAACCAAAAACTATGAGTGTAGTTTTTCCATCTTTGCTGGAACAAAGATAGACGTCTTCAAGAACCAATTATATAAGTTCTTGCTAGAAGTGCAGAGCCATCTGGGCTGTGGTGGATATGTGGGCCTACGGGCAGCTGCAAGCAACAGCCTCTTAGACCAAGTTATCACAAGTCGAGCATGGCCCCAGGCTGGGCTTGGGGAGTAGAAGAACTCCCAAGACCCACTCGGGTAACATCCAGGTAAAATACAAGCCGGCCAGATCTCCTCATATAAAGGAGTGATCAATTTGAAGACCTTGAAATAGTAGTAGGCATCCATCAGTCTCAGAAGACTATGGAGTTGCGCTCTGGTGTCGGCCTGGTCTGGAGTGGCCTCACCAGGGCGCAAAGTCAGGGTAGGTTGATTCGGGGGAGAAGCTGTTAACCAGGCAGCAGGACCCCCCTCTCTACGGCGCCGAAAGTCTCCAATGGAAAGGCACAAATAATAGTGTAAGAACTAATGTTCAGAGAGCACAATAAAGCAAACGTGACAACAACCTGGAATATACTAAGATGGATAATGAGTCCTCATCAAAGCAAGTGATGCCACATCAATGATAGTACTCATCAAAGCACTGATGCTATCTTATATGGCATATTGTTTGGTCTTCATATCTCTTTAAAGCAGGTGAGAATGTAGAGCCAGAAAATGTGGAGAGATCCTTTGCTGCACATACACATTTAAAACTACTTGAAGCATTTAAACTACTTGACCTGACTCAAAACACTCAAACTGTACTCCTTGGAATGAAGATGATATACCGGTATATATCTCACAAGATTTACATGAAAGATACTGGAAGGTCAAGTCCCAAACCTGCACAATAAAATTACAGCATACTGGAGTGAGAGATATGGTACTAAGTGCAAAATAAACCCAATAAAAATTTAAGAAGACAGTGTAAACATCGAAGATCCATAACTTTGCAGTCTCTTCCCATAAAATATAAAAAAATGTTACCAAAACATGTGAAAGCTTTCAGGATAAAACTGGAGAAGTTTCTGGTTGAGCTTCTGGAGCAGCCCAGCTGTAATGGCTATGTGGGTCTTTGGGCTACAAAGAAAAACTGCCTCACAAACCAGGCAGTCGTCAGGGAAGGCTTGTTACAGACCAGGCTGTGGGAACTGAACTCTCGGAATCATTGACAGGTAATAAACATGGCCACGCTGGCCTCCTTCCTTGCTCGCCGCACTTTCATGTGCAATGATAGCAGTTAATGAGTTGAATGAGAGTGATCTTGAACCAGAGGTTGTGGAAGCAGCCACACCCCACAGTTTCAAGGGAAAGTATGGCAGGTTACTGGCAAGTTGGCAGGGGTAAATAGACCAGGTAAAATAGCAGTAAGGTGGGGTTTTAGAGCTGAATCTGGTTCCCTGTTGACGCAACTAGGTGTGCACCCTTTGCACTACGTATTCTACCAGTTTCCCTGTAGATGCAACTAGGTGTGCACCCTTTGCACTACGTATTCTACCAGTTTCCCTGTAGATGCAACTAGGTGTGCACCCTTTGCACTACGTATTCTACCAGTTTCCCTTGTAGATGCAACTAGGTGTGCACCCTTTGCACTACGTATTCTACCAGTTTCCCTGTAGATGCAACTAGGTGTGCACCCTTTGCACTAAGTATTCTACCAGTTTCCCTTGTAGATGCAACTAGGTGTGCACCCTTTGCACTACGTATTCTACCAGTTTCCCTTGTAGATGCAACTAGGTGTGCACCCTTTGCACTAAGTTTTCTACCAGTTTCCCTGTAGACGCAACTAGGTGTGCTCCCTTTGCACCATGCACTCCACCACCACACTTGCACATCCATCACAACAACCACCACCACTACCTACTCCATATAGAGAATAATGATACATTAAATTTTGTTTTTTCTTTTCGTATGAATAATAATTATATATAGTTTGGGATATATCTAGCATAAGGACATTGGATGCCTCCTAGATCACTGATCAACTACAATCAAAATACATCTAGTTATTTTTTGTTTAATAAGGCTGGCTGGTGCATCCCTTATTATGTTTTTCTTTTACTAACATATACAGTAATTTGAACGTTACTTAGACGCACACTGTAAGCCTGAGTGGGGGATCAATAGTGTGTGCGTGCTTGTGTGTATGTATGTAGGTGTGCACATGCTTGCATGTGTGTTTGTATCTTGTCATAGAACTCTTAATAAAATCGAAAAGCAGAATTTTTCTATGTTGAAACCATCAGGCATGGAGACAATTTATATGTTCTAAGTGTTCTGAGCATACTTCTAATGTCTTTAATATCTTACAGGGTCTAGATATATAGGTATGAGTGCATGTATGTATGTATTCTCCTAGTTGTGTTTGCAGGGGTTGAGCTTTGGCTCTTTGGTCCCGCCTCAACTGTCAATCGACTGGTAGTCGATTGATTCCTAAGCGTAGTTACAGGATGAGAGCTAGGCTCGTGGTGTCCCGTCTTCCCAGTACTCTTTGTCATATAACATTTTGAAACTACTGACGGTTTTGGCCTCCACCACCTTCTCACTTAGCTTGTTCCAACCGTCTACCATTCTGTTTGCAAAAGTAAACTTTCTAATATTTTTTCGGCACCTCTGTTTCCTTGGCTTGAATCTGTGTCCTCTTGTTCGTGAAGTTGCTAGTTTTAGGAATTCCTCTTGTCAATTTGGTCGATTCGTGTTAATATTTTGTAATTTTTCTAAGTGGTGATCATATCGCCTCTTTTTCTTCTATCTTCTAATTTTGGCATGTATTAATGCCTCTAGTCTCTCCTTATAACTCTTGTTTTTCAGTTCCGGAAGCATTTTGTAGCATGCCATTGCATCTTTTCCAGTTTGTTTATGTGCTGCTTGAGGTTTGGGTACCATACAACTGTGTATGTATGTATGTATGTGTATGTATATGTGCATGTATATATATATGTGCATGTATGTATGTGTGCAGAGCAGAGTCCGTGAGTATGTTCAGTTTTGCACATTAGTGTAATGTTAAGTAGATTGTGAAGTATACAGAAACAGATTATTCACTAATCAATTTAATTCTGTGTAAGTTTTTATAATTATGTTATTTTTTTAGAAAGTCATTATCCAAAGTGTTTCATTTTTATTTAGGTGGACAGCAACGCACCTCGCCGTCATCCCCTACATAAAGGGGCGCGGACATCACAAACAGTAATTTGTATATATATGCATAAACGTTTTGGGATCTCCGGTACATTTGTTAATATGGGTATTGTCTGTCTCGCTCTGCTGCAGGAAAACTCCTTTGGTTCCTTGAACTTACTTTATTTCCTCTATAAAATTTTGTGGCACAATGAAGTTAATGTATCAAGTGAAGGGAAGTGAATTCTAGAAAACAAATTTAACGGAATAACTGAGCAATAGTAAATGTGCAATGCCACATGCAGATGATGAGTCACAATAACATGACTTAAATATCCGAGAACTAAACCACACACCAGAAGATGAGGAGATGATGACGTTTTGGTCCGTCGCTATCAAGTCAATAATGGTCCAGAACGGATCGAAACGTCGTTGTCTCCTCATCTTCTGGCAAGTAGTTTAGTTTTCAATGCCCCGTGTCAGTAGACTTCAATTTTTTATACACGTTTCATTTTAGGAGTTAAATTTTCTAAGTAAATTCTGAAAGCTTATCTTGAATTTTTACTCAGGTTGTTCATACTCTTGACAGCTGTAAATATAGGCTTGATTTTACAAAAAAAAATTTATTAAACAATTCATTATTTAAATTTGGTTTGATACAAGACCCTAATATAGCAAAAGTAGATTGAAAACTATAAAATATAAATGTTTTATAAGTGTGTGGTGCTTTCCTTACTTGGAGCAAAGAAGATGTGTGTACAAGTAATGTAAAACTGTCGTGGATTTCTGTGCAAGACTGTTGTTTCAGTAATATTTTGGTACTTACATCTTTGCTCTGACTTTGGTTTTGGATTAAGTAGATCTGGTGAGGAGTCTTGACTCATTCTTTGGTGGTCTTTTTTCTTTTTCTTATACTGTATATACCTAATATGGCAATGCAAAGCTTAATTGTGCTTTTTCATACTAACCTTCCTTTTGCTCATTCAGACTTTGCACTCTCTTAGATCCTGCCGTTTGCTGTCAGGCAAGTCATAAATTTCTTAGGGAATGAATGTACATATAATGACAAGTTACATTCGTTCATGTAATGACAATTCAATATTTAATATTATTTTGTTTTGTTTTAGTGAAAGCATGCCTAATACGTTCTCATCCATGAGAGATATTGCTAATTACATTTTTGTGATCAATCACAGTCATTTCTGTGATAATATATAGAAATAAGAGAAACTGACAGACTATAACTGCCAATACTGTACTATGAAGGTACTGACTGCTAATGGGCCTCAGCACTCGTAAGTTATATCTATAGACGTGTTTATAGAGCCGCAGATAGGTAGTGGGGAATATAGTGAGTGTATAGGAGTCCTGACCCGTGCACACTGTCGTAGGAAGTGAGCAGCTTAGTCTACCAGTTGATGTCTTCAGCTACTCGGTCTACACGACCCATTGCTCCTCTCCTGTGTTTCTCTCCACGGGACCTTTCACCCACCTTCTTTACCATTAATGTTTTCCTTGTGTACTTATCTCCATTTCTTCCCTTCCTCACTTTGAGGAGAAACTTGCTAAACTAACAGTTTTAAATTTCTGGAGAAGACTATGGTGCATGTAGCCACACCTCCTAGGTGACTATGGTACATGTAGCCACACCTCCTAGGTGACTATGGTACATGTAGCCACACCTCCTAGGTGACTATGGTACATGTAGCCACACCTCCTAGGTGACTATGGTACCTGTAGCCACACCTCCTAGGTGACTATGGTACATGTAGCCACACCTCCTTGGTGACTGTGGTACATGTAGCCACACCTCCTAGGTGACTATGGTACATGTAGCCACACCTCCTAGGTGACTATGGTACATGTAGCCACACCTCCTAGGTGACTATGGTGCATGTAGCCACACCTCCTAGGAGACTATGGTACATGTAGTCACACCTAGGAGACTATGGTACATGTAGCCACACCTCCTAGGTGACTATGGTACATGTTGCCACACCTCCTAGGTGACTATGATACATGTAGCCACACCTCCTAGGTGACTGGTACATGTAGCCACACCTCCTAGGAGACTATGGTACATGTAGCCACACCTCCTAGGAGACTATGGTACATGTAGCCACACCTCCTAGGAGACTATGGTACATGTAGCCACACCTCCTTGGTGACTATGGTACATGTAGCCACACCTCCTAGGTGACTGGTACATGTTGCCACACCTCCTAGGTGACTATGATACATGTAGCCACACCTCCTAGGTGACTGGTACATGTAGCCACACCTCCTTGGTGACTATGATACATGTATCCACACCTAGGAAGGAAATTCTCAGAGAACAAAAAACGATGAGATTTACATTTATGGGTACTTTGATATGGTCCGATACGTAACATTCATTGACTGTGAATTTTGTTCATTAGAGATTCCTTACTGATGATATTAAGAATAACTTGAGAATAAATATGATTTGCTCACTGAACGATGGAAAGTCTCAAGTCCCAAAAGCCAAGATCAAACAATCAAATATGACTTGGAAAATAAAAAAAAAAAATATAAATTTGACAAAATAATAAATGCTATTTGTTTACTTAAACATTCCAAATATTGTAAAGGAAACATGTTCACTTTTAATTATAAACGTGTTAGAAACTTTATAAGAGGTTAAAATGTTCTTTTCTGTGGAGAGCCCCTTTGGTTCCCTGAGCCATACTGGGATGATGTGTATATATATTAGACCGTAGCAACAGTCAATTGAAGGAGTTCTAGGTTTACTGGGGACCGGCTCCAGAACCTGACCCCCTTGGAGAGGCACGAGGAGCAATGGCCTATAGGCACCCCTGTGTAGTTGGAAGCAGTCTTTATCTGCCATCTACCAGGTCAGATGCCCAGAAAGGTAGGAATCCCAAAAACTACAGCTGGTGAAAAATTTCTAACTGAAAGCCGAACGAGCAAACATAACTCCCCAATCAGAAAACAAAGAAACAAGCATGATGTTACCACAGTCATCGCGCTGCTGTCTGAGCAAGTCCCCCCCCCCCTCTCCCTGGGAAGGGGATGGGGTAGGGGGTCCCAGACCTCCCTTGCCAGCTATCCAACCCCAGTTCAGTGGCTGTTGTGTTTGGTGGCAGTCGATCGACTCTGGCTCCATCCTTTTGAGCAGTGCTGTCCATAGTGGCGGTGGTGGTGTTCTGTGTGGTGGTGTGCGAGCCAGGCATAACACTAGAGTACTGGGGCTGCATGCCACTAGGGCCATCTTCCCTAGGTGCCCTGTAAGTACTGCCCTTACGGTTTAGGGTTATATTTCATAGGTCGTTCAAGAGTCTACCTTCGTGTGATTCTTTTGAGGCTCGATGATTGCCCGCCTTTTGGGTCAGCTAGCATTGTTCTTACCCCTGTTTGATCTTGGGTAGGACATAGTATGTTGCTGGCTGTGTGTAAGATACTGTGCAGCTGTCTGATATATGCATAGTGGCCGGTTCTGGTTCCCCTGGGGATGTTGTGCTTTTGCACATTTTTACTTTTTCTTTTTTGTTTTGCCTGGTGAGGCAAAACAAAAAAGTGTGGTTGGTGTGGTTGTAGGACTGCTTGTATGATTTAGGTGGCCCTCCGCTAGGTCCCTGTGATTGCATATGTCGCAGGGGTTCAGCTTTTAGTTTGTTTGCTTGGTAGTTGTGGGATAAACTGTTAGCAGTACCTTGCCTGGGCTTCCCTTAGCAGTCAGCCTAAGGGCCCTGGAAACCCACATTGGGGCTCATTGGTCCAATGGCGGAGACCTCTGAGGCCCACCTCACTTCGTGCGAGTTTGAAGGTTGCTCTGTTCCCTTGTCTCAGGGTGATATTCACCGTCTTTGCCTCCACCATGCTGCCTGTTGGGTCGATGACACCTTTGAGTGGTGTTCCGTGCATGTACTCCAGTTCACCTAGTCCGATAATACTGTTGATCGGGTGCAGGCAGCATCTGCGGTTTAAGTTGCTGCAACACTCTAGGTTAATTGCCTTTTCAGATCCCTGCGGCTGCCCCACTTTGGTTATAGGGACCTGGACTTTGGGGTGGGGGGGCAAGTGTTAGTTGCTTCGACTCTGGTTTTATCCGTGTCCCCTTGTCCTTCCCCCTGCTATGGTTAATCCTGCTCCCCCACCCCACTGCTAACGGCTCCCAAACATCTGAGGGTTTCGGAGTTAGGGCAGGGTTTTCTTGTTTATCACCACTTGTATGGTGATCAGGTTGGTTCATTGATGGTATTGATGGTGTGCGTTCAGGGTGGATGTCACTTCTGCTCCGTTCCGCAAGCTTTCTTAGGCATTGTTTCACCTCCGGCCTGCTCATGTGCCACCTGAGCCGTCCTGGTCTTTAGACTGGGTGCTCTCTTCTCTCTCCACCTCGGTTTGTAGTGGCCTTTTTGGCTCAGGACTGCTTTTCTAATGTCCTTTTCATGTTGCCATTCGCCTTGGGGGGGGGGGGTGTCCAGAAGCTTCATGCTCTCTTCTGACGCAGGGGTTTCTGCTCTTTCGATCCTGGTAGTCGGTTTGATTGTTTGCAGCCGTCTCCTTTTCTGGCGAAGAATGAGACTGCTGTTTTTCGGAGGGGGTCCTTGAGATGTTCATGCTTGGTCTGTTCAGGTGGTGGGTGCATCATGATTTGTATCCGGTTGTGGCTCTTTGCCATTACTTGCGCACCAGGGCCTCCGTTACAGGGGAGGCGCTTTGGGTTGACCCGGTTTCCTTCTTTCCTGTTTCAGGGCGCGGGTTTCCCAGGTCGTCCGCAGGATTATTCGGTCCAGCCAGCCTGCAGTCTATCCCTGTGCCCATGACGTTCATAAGTTCGCAGCTTTGGCTGCTGTTTTTGGTAATATGTTCTGGGCTGACATTCGGGCATGGGGCTATTGGAGGTAGAACAGGGTCCTAGTCGCACGGTACCTCGTTAATGTTCTGGGCCCTTCTTGGGTGTGTGTTGCTTTGGGTTGCAGGTTGCAGCCAGTTGTCTCGACTTCAAGTAGAGGAGTGAGTGGCGGCTGCCTCCTGAGTGAATCCCTCTTTTCCCTTATTGTTAGGTAGCTCCGGGGAGCCAAAGGGACTCTCCATAAAAAACCAGCATTGAATGTAATGAAATGCCATTTTCTGGGTGAGACCTGGAGGCTCCCCGGCATCCCTCTTTCCCTCCAGTCGGCGGGTTTTTTGAGTTTTTGATTTTCAGCCTCTGAACTGGGATTGTGTAGCCAGTGTGGGAGGTCTGGGACCTCCCTTCCCTCTCTTGGGGAGGGAAGGAGTTGCGCAGACATCGTTGGCGGCTATGGTGGCATCATGCTTGTTTGCTTGTTTTCTGATTGGAGAGTTCTGTTTGCTCGTTCGGCTTTCGATTAGCAATTTTTCTCCAGCTATAGTTTTTGGGATTCCTACCTTTCTGGGTGCCTGACCTGGTAAATGGCAGATATAGGCTGCTTCCAACTACAGTGATACCTCGGTTTATGAATGTCCCACTTTATGAACTTTTCGGGTTACGAGCTCGATTTCTTCGGAAAATTTGAATCGGGTTACGAACTTTACCTCGGGATACGAGTTTGTTGATATGCATATGGCCGACCTAGCACGTGGTGGCACGGTGATCACACCTCAGTTTACCAGTGCCTCCTGCCGAGTGTCTATCCCTCCTGAATTCTTTGCAAGGATTTACAGTTTTTTTTCAGATTTTTGGCTATTTGAGCATAAAAGTTATTATATATCACACCAGGGTCCCAAGAAAGCCAGTGGTAAGGTTCAAGGCAAGAAAACACATGTGAGAATGACCATAGAGGGAAACAAGAGATCATTCGTAAACATGAAAATGGTACACGTGTTGTTGAACTAGCTAGGCAGTACGACAAATCTTCAGGGAAAGAAGAGGAGGCAGTAGAGGATGTCCCTTCCTCATTAATTAAGAAAATGTGTGCAGTATGGGAAGAACTGCAAAGTTTTGCTGAAAAGAATCACCCAGATAAAGCTTTAGCAGGCCGTTGCATTGATCTTATTAATGACAATGTGGTGTCTCACTACAGACAAGTGTTACAAAAAAGGGAAAAAAAAATCTTCAATGGAACGATTTCTAGTGAGAAAATCGAGCAGTGAGCCAGAAGCAGGTCCTAGTGGTATGCAGGCAAAACGTGCCAGAGTATGTACCCCAGAGAAGCCCTCACTGCCTGATGTTATAATGGAAGGGGACTCCCCTTCCAAACAGTAACCCCTCTCCTCCTTCCTCCTCCTCACCGTCTTTCATACGCCAACAGGAGTCATCAGTAAAGGTAAGTAATAACTTGTACATACTTTTGTAGTGAAAATTTGGGTGAATTAGGTATAAAATTTACTTAAAAGTTAATTTTTTTGGGAGTCAGGAATGGATTAATTCATTTCCCATTATTTCTTGTGGGGAAAGTCGCTTCGGTTTGTGAATTTTCGGGTTATGAACCGTCTCCAGGAACAGACTAAATTCGTAAACCGAGGTACCCCTGTACACGAGTGTCTAGGCTAGTGTTCCTCATGCCTCTCTGAGGGGGCCAGGTTCTGGCTCTGGTCCCTGGTAGGCCTAGAACCCCATCGATTGACTGTTACGACGGTCTAAAATACACATCAGCCCGATATAGCTCTGGGAAGCCTCCGGGTCTTGCCCAGAAAATGGCGTTTTATTACATTTAACGCTGGTCTTTTGATTGTTGGATGATTTTCATATCAGGTGCTGTATCACTTACATTGAGATAATAATGTTTATGTAATACATTGGATTTCTAATCTGTTGTATATATACCATGCTATTAATGTTGATAGTCTTTATGTTCATACACTAACACATGGGCAATGATCACACTTTTGTTAACAGTATTTAATATACTGTAAAACATTTCTGGGCTGGCTTCTGAGAGCTTGGACACAGCACTACCAGGTCTCTGAACTTGTGCAGAAGACTATGGTAGTTTTCTGTGCACAATTATGCATAGACGGTGATGCACCTTTCCTTATCTTGTAATGATTTCAGGGCTCAACGTTCCCACTGCCCGGTCCCCGACCAGGTCTCTTGGTTGCTGGACTGGTCAACCAGGCTGTTGGACACCGCTGCTCGCAGCATGTCCTACCCAATACCCAGATCAGAAAGTACAGTTGAAGCAAAATAAACCATGTATCTTGATTAGAAATCAAAGTGAAAGTAAATAAGCAAACATTAGTTTGCAAATAATATGCATGGTTGCTTCGACACTGTTTCAGGATCAGCTTCCTTCGTGTCAATTAGTATTTCCAATTTCCTTTCCAGAGTTATCTTCTCTGAGGGGGTTCAAGTGTCCTCAAACTTTCTCCACCCATGTTTCTTGCACGATATTGATGTTTACACCTTGCCCATTGGTGGTTGTTCCTTTTTACAGAGGATTCTCGGTGTGCTTGCTTATACTAAAGTATACACAGCTTTTTTTATAACACTTAAATACACAAGCAGATACAAATCTACTATTTCATAAGGAAAAAGTAGAATAATTATTTGATTTTCTTTCACACCTGCAGTGTTTTTATGATGCACTTTAAGGTTTAAGACTCGGTAGACTGCTGAGGTTCCAAGTCAGAAGTCGTGGTCCCATTTCTGACTTAGTCCAACATTCGTTCTGTTCAAGTTCCTGTGCCACTTCCTGGGTTTCCTTGCACTTGCTGACTTGCAAGTGCAAGGAATCCCAGGAAGCAAGTCCAAACACTTGTTTGGACTTGCTGAAGGTCCCCATCTCCCCAGTCTTTTATGTTTTTGTTTGAGGGTTCCATTCTTCCTACTGTCCATTGTTTGTTGCTTGTGCCTGCCCTTTCTTTTATAGATTTATGATGACCTTGTTTTCGGGTTATCTGCAGCTGTGGTAATGGTAGATCGTTCCACTCAATTCTTCCTTGTGGCGGTTCATTGTCCTTGTTGCTTCCGTGATGTGTGGGACACAAGTGCGCAATGTCCTGTACAGTTGCCCACATGGGAAACAGCCGAGACATCAGGCTTGTCGGGGTTTTTCTACTTGCATTCCGTGTACAATACTTGGATAGTTATCCTGTCATTTTCTTGTGTTACAATAGTTTGCATGACAGCTTACCATGCTGTAATGACATTTATTTTTTTGGCTTTGTTGTCATTTTTGTGAGGCGGTTGTTTAGCTGCTGCTTTTGCATTGAGGGTGTTATATACTCGGTTGGTGGCTCCTCGTGTAATTTTGGGGCCTCTTCCTTAGTTCTCGGCAGTGTGTGTGTTCGGGTTCCTCCTTTAACCACTCACTTGAGCGGTAGTGTTCTTTTCGTGTGGTCGTGTACCCTTGTAGTGCCTATTGATGGCCTATCATTTCTGGTGTTGACTGTTGCCCTTTGCCCAAGTCTATAAATAACGAGGAAAATTAAAAAGTTAAGAGTTTAAACAAGTAATACAGCACTTGGGAGAATGTTGCAACTTAGGCTTAGTTGAAGGTCATATTAATCAAGTTATTCTGTGGTGGCTGCATGGTATGTGTTAGATACTGTTACAGAGGAAATGTGATAAATTATATTTTTTGGTGTATTCATTGTACAAAGGTTGAATTTGAGAAAATCTGCATTTATGTGAATATCCATTTTATTCAGTCTCGGTTAATTAGCAATTATTGAACTGGTCAAATTTCTGAAAGTGAGTTACATAAACTTATCTGACAATTGTACAGTGTTAATAAATATAGAAATGTTTTTCAGGTCACAGATGACATGAAGACTCACAAGAACCCAAGTCTTCGTGAGGGCCCCAAACCATTTGTGAAACAATCGAGCCCACCCAACCGTGCCTCGCCTCACCGTGATGGCCCAACTGGCCCTCCCAAATTTGCACTCGAAGGCAAGAAATGGTTCATTGAGTACCAGAGTGATAAGCCAGACCTTATTGTCAAGGATGGCAAGATGGATCAATCCATATACATATTTAGGTGCCAGAACGTCGTGGTGCAAATAAAGGTAAATTATAGCATCTACTTTTCAGAAACTTCAGTCTTTTATATTATTGATACAGATTGTTTGGTAATGTGATTAAGGTGGACAAGTCATTTGGTTAAAAAGAAGAGGGGGGGGTCCCATCATAGTTCTCTCTATGTATATCATTATTTTAGTGTAGTCATTAAGGTACTGACTGGTAAAACTTGAATGTGCAAGAATGGAAATATAAGGCAAATTATATATATGCCTTATATAAGGCATATATATAAATAATGAGACAAAATATAAAAAAATATAGGTCAACAGACTAGTAGGTTTTTATGATGATTAAAAACTAATGTTGTGACAAACTTTAGGATAATATACAGCTGTATGTACCATAAAGACAAATTTCCTTGAAATTACAAAATCAGAAACTAAACCTACTTTTCTGTGGAAAGCCCCTCTAGCTTCCCAGAGCTATACTGGGCTAATATATATGTATTAGACTGTGGCATCAGTCAATTTGATTGGAGTTCTACCTACCGGGAACCACAAGCCAGAACCTTGCCCCCTCAGAGAGGCACGAGAAGCAATGGCTTATAGAAACCCCCGTGTAGTTGGAAGCATTCTATGTCTGCCATCTACCGGGTTAGACAGGTAGGCGTCCCAAGACAAACTCCACTTGGTTAAAATTTTTACCGAAAGCCGAACTATCAGGCAGAACTCCACAATCTGAAAACAAGCAAACTAACATGACACCACAACTGCTGCTGCGCCGCTGTCTGCGCAGTTCCCCCCCCCCCTCCCAGGAAGGGGGAAAGGGGAGCCCCAGACCCATCGCACCAACCATCCAACCCCAGTTCTGAGGCTGATGTGTTGCGTGGCAGTCGTTCGACTCTGGCTCCTGTCTTTGAGCAGTGCTTTGCGGTGTTGTTCTGCTGTATGGTGGTGTGCGAGCCAGGAGTAATTCACAGAGTACTGGGGCTGCATGCGCTTTGTGCCACCTTCTCTAGGTGCCCTGTAGGTGCTGCCTTTGTTGTTTGGGGTTTCCTTCCACAAGTCGTTCAGGAACGACCTCCATATGGATCTTTTTGCTGCTCGGTGATTGCCCACCCTTGGGGTTAGCTGGGGTTTTTATTTTCACTGTTTGACTTTAGGTAGGAGGTAGTATCATTGCTGGTAGCGGTGCAAGGTGCTGTACAGCTTGTCACCAATTACACAGTGGCCAGTTCTGTTCCTCCTGGAGATGTACTTTTGTGGGGGTTTTCTTTTTCTTTTTGTTTGTTGCCTGGTGGGGGGGTCTGGCCCCCTTGATTATTGTCCACCTTTTGTTGTTCTGGTGGATCCCAGCTAGGTCCCCGTGATTGTACACAGTGCAGGGGTTCAGCTTTTATTTGATCTCTCGGTAATTTGGGCCAACCGGTTAGCAGTACCTTGCATGGGCTTTCCTTAGTAGTCAGCCTAAGGGCCCTGGAAAATCCCATTGGGACTCATTGGTCCAATGAATGCATCCTCTGGGTCCCATCTTGCCTTGTGCGAGTTTGAAGGTTGCTCCATCCCCTCGTCTCAGGGTGACATTCACTGGTTTTACGTCAGTCATGCTGCCTGTTGGGTCAGTGACACCTTCAACCTGGAGTTCTACTGACCCGGAGTTCTACCTTCGACCCAGAGTTCTGCAAGTGGTGTTCCTTGCTGGTTCTCCAATTCACCCAGTCCACTGACTCTGATACTAGGGTGCAGGTAGCATCGGCGTTGCATGCACAGTTTCGGTTGCTGCAACGCGCTAGATTGGTTGCCTTTCCGGATGCCCCACTTTGGTTATAGGGACTCAGATTTGGTCGCGTTAGTCGCTTCGAATTTGGTTTCGTCCGTGGCCCCCTCGTCCTTCCCCTGCTGTGGTTTGTCCTGCTCCTCCCCCTTCCCCCCATCCTGCTGCTAGCTCCCAAACATCTAAGGGTTTCGGAGTGAACCCTCGGTTTCGGTTTCGGGGCGGGGTCTAGTTGGCGGTGAAACTTGGGTGGTCTCGGGGGCTGCCCCATCTGGTTCGGCGAGGGAAGCATTCGAGCCTGATTCTCCAGCCGGACACTCACCTTTTACTGACCAGCGGATCCCCTTTCTCCCTTTTCCCTACTTTTCCGGTTGGTTCTTGCCTTTAGGGGGCAGAGGATTTGGAAGATAGCTCTGCCCTGGGTCCTGGCGTGGAGGATCCCGGGGCTGGGGAGGAGTCGACTTGAGGTGCTTGGGGTCCGTTTGACCCTACTTGGGTGTTGGTACCCTCTGCGCGGGGCTGCTTGTTGCAGGGGAGGGGTTTTCTTCTCCCCTTCCCTGTACGAATTTGATATGGGTTCGGCTCCTCCCCGAATTTGGTTCCGGGTTCCCTTGGGTTCTTCGGTCCCTTTCTTCTGGAGGTTTTTAGCTTCCTGTATCCCGCCTAGGGAGGTTCGAGAGGCCATTGCGGTGTACCTCCTTTGTGACCTGGAGGTCTCGATAACTGACTCTTCCTCGTTTGAGCTCGGTTCTGCTTTTTCCTATTGGGTGCATTATGAGGTATTGGAGTCATTCTGGTTAGCAGACTGCTCTCTTTTTTGTTGGGGGCGTGGTATTCGTTCTGTCGGACCCACACGCTTGAGTGGCGGAAAACTTCTGTTGTGGTTCAGGTTTACCTGGGGTGCGAGTTAGAGCACTTCAATGCATGCTTGTTTGCCCCCGTTTTTCCTAAGGATATTGGTTAAGTGCAGCTCCATGTGCAGGTTTCCGTTCGTTCAGTATACCCTGGTAGCTGTGGATTTGTGTGCCCGGGGGCACTTGGCTTCAGTTTTGCATTTCTTTTGACTGCTCGAGCTGTCTTCGGACTAGCTTGAGGAGGAGGTGGAGGCGCTGGGTAATGGGCCTGTGTCTGGTGCACTTGCCTCTGCAGTTTGGGCGTCGGCTGCCTTGTTGAAGTTGTATACGCCAATTCTGAAGGAGGCGCTGTCTCTGTTCTCTGCTTCCCACCTCGCGTGCTGGCAGGCTGTGCTCGCTCATTCTTTGGAATCCACGTGGGCCCTGGCTCTTAGATTTTTGTCGCCTTTGCAGATTCCCTGTTTACGGGTTCTGCGGTTATGCAGTATCTGCAAGCAGCTTCTACTAGCTGTTGCCTTGTCAGACTTGTTGGTTCTCGGGGACAGCCGTGGGAGTCGTTCCTGGAGGGGTCGTGCCAGGGTTCAGGGTTCCTCCAGTCATGGTGAGCCAGTGGTTCTGGCTTCGGAGCCATCTGCATCTGGTCGGTGCAGTGATTGCTTTGTACGTCGTTCAGGTTCTTGTAAAGAATGTTGGGCCTTTTGCAGTTCGCCCCCATTGATGGGGGTTGGAGGAGGCTCACTCTGTTTGCTTGCTCATGGTCCCATGATTTGTGGGCATTTCGGGTTGTTTCCTCTGCCCTGCGGTGGCATTGGGTGGTTCCTCCTCCTTCAGGGGGTTCGGGGCTCACAAGGCAGGCCTCTTCTACGCTCTGTCAGATCATTTTGGAGAGGGTGAGCTTGGGCATGGTCGAAATGACTCCGTCCCTCAAGTGGGTTTCCCCACCTGTTTCCAGTTCTGAAACGGGACTGTGCAGATCTGACGTTCATTCTGAACTTGTCCCGTCTGAACCCCCTGGGTCTTTTGCCCTTCCTTTCGGATGATCACTCTGTCCCAGATCTGGCTTCTTTTGGAACCGGATGCTTGGATGGTGTCTCTGGACCTCCAGGACGCATATTATCACGTCCTGATTCATCCGAGGTTTAGGGACTGGCTCAGTTTTGTCATGGGGACATCAGGATTACTGCTGTCGTTACCTTCCATTCGGCTTGAATCTGGCATCTTGCATTTTTTACACGCCTTACCTGGGTCGTGGTGACAGGATTGCATCTGCTAGGGGTTTGGGTTCTGTCCTACCTCGACGACTGGCTGGTATGGGCTCTCATCCAGTCCGAGTGTCTGCTTGCCAAGGGTTTGGTTCTTTGACTGTTATAGCCAAACAAGACAAAATTCTACACTGAGGGTGGAGGGGGGGGGAGGGGGAGGGGGGTAGATCTGAATGTGTTGTTAAGATTCCAGATCCAGATTTCTCGCCAAATGAGAAATTCTGTGACAGGACAAATAATCACAGATTATTTTGCTAAAATTAATAAAGTTTGATTATGGTATGGAATTTGTGGAAACTTTGTAAAACCTAAACTTTTCAAATAAAAGTTTTGTACTTCAGTGAATATTTGAAAGGTTTGTTAATTAGTTGATGCAAAAGCTCTGTGTACTCTGCATAAATTAATATTATTTTGCTCCCCACAGGGAAAGGTAAATTCTGTCATCCTAGATTCCTGCAAGAAGTCAGCAGTGGTGTTTGAGAACCTTGTCTCTTCTGCAGAAGTTGTTAATTGCCAGTCCTGCAAAGTTCAGGTAAGAATTGTATATATATACATGCATATATATATATATATATATATGTATTCATGTATATATATATTTACATGTGATGTATAAATACATGAGATGTATATGTATATAGCACACTACACGTATGTAGTTTTATTTTCATCTATTTTTTATTGGCATTTTCCTCTACTCTCAGAGCAAGTGTAATTAGCAAAGTGTCCCATTACAATTCGTGGTGTCCTGTTTCCCCAGTTTTATCATATGACGCTTGACACTACTGAGGGTTTTGGCCACCACCACCACCTCACTTAACTTATTCCAACTGTCTACCATGTTGTTTGCAAAAGTGAACTTACTAATGTGTTTCTGGTAGCTTTGTTTCCATAGCTCAAATCTATGACCGCTTGTTCTTGAAGTTTCAGGTTTCAAGAATTCTTCTTTATCAATTCTGTAGATTCACATTACTATTTTGTACATAGAAATTATATTGACTCTTTTTCTTCTATCTTTGGCAAATTTAACACCTAGCCTCTCCTCATAGCTCTTGTCATTCAGTTTCTGAAGCTATTTTGTTACACATCTTTGCACCTTTTCCTGTTGATGGGCTTCTTGTGATATGGGCACCATACAGCTGCTGCATATTCCAGTTTTGGTCTCATAAGTCATGAACAGTCTTTAGTATTTCACCATCAGGCCACCATCAGGGAACTGACATGAACTGGATGAAAAGCACTTGGGATTCGTACAAATTACAATATGTACAGTTTCACACACTACACAGCAACACACTGTACAGTATTACACACTCAGTACTTCAAAATTGAGTGATAATCAACGAAGTAGTCCATGGTACACAGCGCGACTTCATTCTCATTGCACCAGGTACAGATAGATTTTCACTTCCTGTTTCTTCGTTCTGTGTGCTTGCAAATAATGCACTTATGTACACCCTTGTACCTGTAGGTGGTATATACCCAAGCTTGTAAAGCATAAGGTAGTCTTGAAAGGATTATAGGAAAAGATCAATATGTAAGGTAGTCTAGAAAAGATTGCTTTGTAAGGTCCCTCTCTGGAAGAGATTCAGCAATTCTTGAAGAGATTCAGCTATTCTTGAAAATATCTATGGAAAACACCACCACGGAAGCCACTAACACTGTTCATCTATGCTACTTGTATCAGATGCATCATCACTCAACCCAAAAAAACGATTCATCTATGTATCATCTGTAAGAATTGGAGATGGCATAGGTGGATAAGAGTGGCACTCAAGCTACAACTGAATACGCTCACTGTACTGTCCTCGTAGGTGCTGTATTACTTGCATCTGACCTTTGTGTTAGGTCCTTATTGCGCATAGCTTCATCAATATCATGACCCTTATGTTCTTCAAACCATAAGGTATGAATTCCACTGACAGAGAGCGATCTTTCAACACCACATCCGACAGGTGTTTGGGAGCCAGAGGCACGTGCGCCACCCATAGTTGCTCACTCAGTACTAACCCAGCCAGCAGTCCTAGGACATTCTGGGAATTTTTTCCAAGATGGTTGCCTCTCACTGAAGGTCCCAAGAGTCCATTTGATACACAACCTAGCTCGCACGCATTTTGAATGGGTATGAAATATTCAAAAAGTGTGTTTTCTCGGTTGGCGCAGTTTCTCCACCAACTGAGTTTTCTTAGTTGGTGCAAAATGGTTAAAGGGCGATACTGTCTGGCCTATGATACTTCCATACCCTACATGTTTCGTCTTGGAAAGTTGGGCGAGACTGGTCCCAGCATCTGGCCACCTACTGTGGACAGACACACACTCTCTCACATAGCTGTAGATGAGAGATGAAATTATTTAAGCTTGGTTCATTTAGTAATGTAATAGTCTGCTAACATTGCAAATCCTCTTTTGTATCTTTCAGGTGATGGGTGTTATGCCTACAATCTCCATTGAGAAGACTGATGGATGCCAAGTTTACTTAAGTAAAGATTCTCTTAAAACAGAGATTGTTACTGCAAAGTCAACAGAAATGAATATCCTTATTCCTAAGGATGATGGAGACTTTGTTGAATGTCCTGTCCCGGAACAGTTCAAGACGGTTATTAATGGCTTCTCACTGACCACAACTTGCTCAGAAAAGGCAGGGTAAGGCAGAACAGTAGCATATACTGCTTGAAAAAGAGCGTAAACAACTGCAAGTAGCCAGAATAACGTATGATATCTAGCTCTAGGTTTGATGAAATTACAACATTGATCAAAGCAGTAATAGAGGAGACGTTTAAAATTTTAACTTATGGTTTAATAATTGTGTATGAATTTATGTTCATATGTATTGTGAGTGTTTCATATTAAATATTGTGATTATCCAAATACATAGGATGGTGGTGGTAAAATCTTCAGGTACCATAAAGCAATTAACTAGCAAGTGGAAATGATATATTATCTGGCTAAAAGTTCCTTGTTAAAATAGTTGAAATTACTGAACTGTTTTGTGGTGATGCTGACGTGTGTCCTGTCTCCCATGTCAAGGTTATTCTCATATTTGTTGGGTGCATTTCTCTTGTTGCCATTCATATGTAGAAGCTTATTTAGATGTTAGGATTTATTTAAAATAAAATTCACACTGTCCTTACAGTGCAGTGTGTAGGGTTCGGCTCAAAAATTGAGATTTTAACGACAATATATTGATAGATCTTTGCCAATTTTTGTTAAGGTGCAATAATCTGTGCATAGATAATGTGAAGCTGTTTGTAACTGGTATATATTGCCAATGAAAAATATTACAATGTACTTTGTTTATAATTCAAGTGTTTGGTAGGTTACAGTTTTGGTAAAAGTAACTTAGACATGATGAACTATTGGAAAATAAAGTTTCAAAATAGACATGTGTATCAACTTAAGATGAACATATTTGCTGGAACACATAAGCTGTTCTCTGGAGGTCAAGCCAAAACATCAGCAGCACATATAGGCACAAGCTCAAATCTTAACATTTGTTGCTTTTTCAGAATTTATTTATTTAGTATTGGAAAGATGTTTACAATGAAAGGAACTGACAAGAATGTTCTTGAATTGAATGTGATGTACTCCATAAAATATTGAAGTAAAACTCCTTGTCTCCTTAAATGCCTTGAGACTGTATAAAGGCAGTGCCTCAAATGTACAGAAATTTTGCTAAGGAGTTAGTTCTTCAGCCCAAAAGCATGTTGGCAAAAAATATTTGTATCTTAAGGTGATGAAAATTTACTTTTATAGTATTTTTACATCAATTTAAATTTTTAAAATTTCCTATTATCTGCTTTCTGCTTCAAGTAGTATAGATGCCTTAAGTTATTAATGTTCGTTTCTAGTCTGACAGGAAATGTGTGTTACACACTAAACACTGACGAAGCAATATTTGCATAGAAAACAAAGGGGAAGGATGTGTTACTTGGCTTTGTTATTGTCACTGTCTACCACATTGATTAACTGTACTCTTCCATTTTATATGCATATCAGTAACATTTCTGATTTAACTAATAAAAAGTACAATTGGGTTACTATTGGAATTTATTTTATACTTGCCAAAATTTCTGTAACAGCCAACACAATTGTTTTAATGCTAATACTGTACAACTAAAAAAAAATTACCCACCAAAATGTAATGACTAGTCTTGCATTATTGTGATAGTTTCCCTCTAAAATCGGTACTTCTCTCAATCTTTAGTATTTCTTTCAGCGTCTTCCTCCTCCCCCCCTTCCTTCCCTTGTAGGCACCACCCTGGCGTGGTGAGGGAGCATGTGTATATGTTCCGTCGAGGGTGGAACACCCACATGCTTCTGCTTCACTATCCAGACAACTACCCACCCAGTGGCTACAATATCCGAGAGCAATATCATTTCAATGCTTTACCAATGGTCATCCACTGTCAAACAAATACCACTCTTCGATATTGTGCCCATTGAGTAGGGGGCATTTGTTAATTTTGCTTTTAATACACATGAAAGTTTATTTTGGTTACATTCTAAGATTTATTTCTTCAAGGAAATTAGACAGAGTATTTTAATTTTTTATTTTTAAGTCAACAACTGCAGAAATGGCAGCAGTACTTCAGTTGCCAATTAGCATATTGTTTTTCTATGAAGACATTTAATTATTACACAAAAATTACAATAGCGAGATGCATCAAATGAACAAATCCACAGGGGCTGTGACGAGGGGTTCAAACCTATGTCAGAGAGGCTCCCAGACGCGCCTTAATTGACTGAGCTACGACATGGTCAAAAGAATTGCAACCGGGAAATCAACTTGACCTACCATGGATCCTGCAGTTTCTCCGAGACACAAACCAGGGTTTTACACAATTCCCCCCGTGCACCTGAGCTCTGCCAATAAGCTATTCTACCTCTTTGCCCTTACTTCATTACACTTAGCTCAGTCGATTAAGGCGCGTCTGGGATCCTCTCGGACATAGGTTCGAACCCTTGTCACGGCCTTTGTGGATTTGTTCACATTTAATTATGTTGCAAGTCATTGGAAAATACAGACAACTCGTTTAACAACAGCTGTAACTGAAGTGACAGTAGGCAAAAAAAATACTACAGGCCTACTGTTATAAGCAAGGGTTATAGTCCTCGGGTGCTGGGAAAGATGACTGGTCGTTTTTTTGTTCACTAGCCCTTGTAATACCTTCCTAGCAGTTTTAGCTTAGTTTCTAATTGTCTTTTTCTTTAACCTTTCATTAGGATTATTACCTGTTAAAGGCCACTTACCTGCCATACCTCATTCAAAATTTTTTATTACTAATAATATTGAACTTGAAACTTCCACACCTTGTTTGAACAGCTGGCGAGATGAATTTGTTTCGGTAGTTGTTATATTCAATTGATAATTTAACATAACCATATGGTTGTATTATACACTACAGTATTATATAATAATTATGTACAGTGCTGTACTTTCAGTAAACAAAGTTTAGTTATAGTACAGTACTGTATAGTGTATGTTGACAATACAGTATTTAAGTTAGCCCTCATATACTGTATTTAAATTTCTCAAAAGTACAATAGGCTTCCACATCATTTTCTCTATCCTACATTAGGAGAAACTTTATAATACAAAAAGCCACTTCTTTTTTATTAGAAAAATAACGTTAACTGGGGTGATGTTAAAGAGAGGTTTACCTGTATATGCAAAGTTATTTAATTAAAAGGGAATATTGTTGAGAATTTTACCACATTTTTGGTAGGAAAATTGTAATTATCAAAACTTCATTTGTACTTTTACTTTAAACAATCAGCTTTGGTAATTTTCACATACAAAAATTGTCTGCAAAGTTACCAAGTAAACTTTGAAGTAAGTTTATCATTTATTTTTTTGGTACTTTATTTTTGTCATTAAAGTACTGTATTATGAAACGTGAATATTTTATTTCAAAACTATACAAGACTATTTTTTGTTTTCAATGAAACAAAACAAAATGACTGCAGTAACTTGTAAGTAAGTTTTAAACTCAAGTTTTATTTTGCATACTGATGATGTAAAGTGTGCCCAGTTTTAGGACTACGTATGGGTCATCTGTCTAAGGAACCGCCATGTAGTTGTATTGGGTATTCGGGCTGGAGTTTGGAGGGACGGTGGGTCCTCTTTTGTTGTATGCTGGCATATGTGAACTCTCAGTTTCTACTGAAAAGAAAAGAAATCGGTGAATATTTGCAGTTTCTGAAATTTTTAAAAAATTTGAACTTACTACAAAGGTAGGCCACACCAAAGCCAGCAACTGTATGGACAACATTTGTAACTCTGATGTGAATTTCTTATATTCTCATTGTCTAGGTCCTACTTGTTCGTTAGCAACACTTACCACTAGATCACTACCCAGTGAACCTAGTGTTCCAGCTATCTACCCATTCATGCACCTGCAGTGGTTGCCTCCAAGTACCTTGCTGCTCTCCGGGCATGAACCTTCAGCTAGATGTTGGCTTTCCTTTTGGATTATGCTGTGCTTGTGATTGCTTCTTTTCAACTGCACATATACGAATTTTTGGTCAACATGTTGCGTTGTCCCAAATTTCATATTCGCCTCAGCTGCACGTGGCCAGAATTGCCCCTCTGGTTGCAAAGATGGTTTAGGAGGTCTGCTTGAGGGGATGTGACCAAGGTAGTGCACATACCTCGGTTCCACTGCGGGGCATGGTGGTTGGGGTAGGCTGTATTGTTTTTTTACACAGGAATAAGCAGGGTTTTATGGCTCCTGGGTTTGACAACGGCTTATGCCTACCCACTCCACATTTTTTCAAGCAAGGGGGATTGGTGTGGGTTTCATGTTCCGCTACCCAGCTGCCAGCTTCCCTGCCAGTTTGTCCTGGGTTAGTGCCAGTGTTCCCAAGCTGATCTCATTCTGGAGAAGGTTGGCAGCTTCTCTGTGGGTTCTCCAGCTTTGATGTTTACTACTAGCCACCCTTTGCAAAGCAACTGTGCTGCCAGTCAGGGCAAATTACAGCACCCTACAGATTCCTGTAGACTGGGTACACTCATTCTTGTCTAGTGCCTTTCCTGTATACTGTATTGGGTATCCCAAGTGGTTTATTCTTGGCTGGTTCAGTTTCTTTAGGGTGAATGTCATAATGAATAGATATCTTGCCAGATATTCTTAATGTGGCATCTAGAACTTTTCACTGTTACTGACATTTTGGTCTTCCACCCCATAAGTGGGAATGGGGTACTGGTAAAAAATAAAGCAAGTACCAAAAGAAGACACCAAGCTGACTTGACCTCTGCCAACAGTCACTGATAATCCCATTCCTCCCTCTCCAAACCACACTAGTAATGCTCAGAGCTCAACCAATCTGATTGTGTATGGTTGAAGCCACATTCTGATTGGTGTGCTGCCTGTAGGGTTTAATGCAAATGAGTAGTGTGAGCTCTGTTGCTCTGCCCTCAGCTCCTCTCTACATTCTTGTGGCTAGTTCACAAGGCACAAGGTGAATGCTCTCTTGAACACTGTCACCCTCAAAACTTTTAAGTATTAACTCTCAGTCACCTCGGTTGAGACACCTTCCAATTCAATAACGACAGAAAAGTGCGTTTTGTGACTGGTGTACCTGTAAATAAGTACTTTATAACATCTTGTGTACAGAATTTGACTCACATTTTGTGGTGCTTATTTGTGACCAAGTGAGCCTGTTGGATAGTTTTTGACTATCTGGTAAGCCAATTTAGAGCGGATGTTCCAGTCTGGACTGTGCATGTGTTTTTGGATGTTATTCCAACACATTGTTATTATTTTGTGCATACAATTTAATTTGCACGAGCATCAATATGACAGTGCACTGCTGAATTCAAGTGCTCTAGTATACTGAAAAAGGCTCTTTGGGCCATCCTTTATATGTAACTGACCTTGTCAAAGACCCACAAGGAAAATACCAGACAAGTGCTCTCAGGTATTGGGAAAGCACTGCAAAATAATAGGAACCAAAACCATCTCAACAGACCAGGTCTGGAAATGACAACTGCAGTGTGCCATATAAAAAGTGCGAGCCCCAAATGCACTCCCAACACAGCCAATCCTTTAGGCCCCCAAACCATGGGCCTAAAACAGAGGAATCTAATCACTCCCGAGGTAAGGCCCTCCACCTGATAGCCAGGTCTCAAAAGAGCAAACTCCTGATCACACCAGAGAATTTACTCTGTCAAGGTGCAACACTAAACATCCAGGGACATAACTGCAGGACACATGCAGTTCGAAGTGTAAAAAGCAAAGTCCACACAATAACACTGGACAGAAAACATGTTTGTGAAGCTAATCCTATATGGTTCTCACAGGGAATCATATAGGATTATATGGCTGAAGAGTGGCAGAGGATGGAAGAGTGAAGAGGTTGGGTATCATGAGGTGAAACCACTCAAGGACAGACAAGGCCAGGAAGAAAGGACAAAAGTGTGAAGAAGGACCGAGAAGGATACTCCCATCATCATTCAAACACATGCATAGCAGGCAAGGAAGGACTAGAGATCAGGAGAGTGGACCAGAGGGTACCAAAGTGTCATGTGAGCATACATCATGCCAGGGAAGAGGCAAAGGCTCACCATTGAAAATGAAACATGGTGCATGTTTCAAGAGGATGGCCTCTTCAAACTGATAGTGCATATACAATCAAGAAAAGGCAGGATCGATAGGGGGTAAGAACAATCGGACTTGGTATGACTGAATTCACTATACAATGGGCAAAAGAACACCTTGCTATAACAAAGTCGAAGCTCCATGTCCATATTTCCAGCACTTAATGCAGAGGCATAGAGGGAGCATATTCTTTCCATTTTACACTTAGTGCCATAAATACCAAATTCTACTTTGGTTGTGGGGATGTGGACAAGGTGCGCTGTGACGTCATCATGGCCTGATCACCCGTGGATGAATCGCCCAGACACAGTTGCGCGGGCCATTCAAGCACCGGGTGTATCTTGAGGTTATCTTGAGATGATTTCGGGGCTTTTTTTTAGTGTCCCCGCGGCCCGGTCCTCGACCAGGCCTCCACCCCCAGGAAGCAGCCCATGACAGCTGACTAACACCCAGGTACCTATTTTACTGCTAGGTAACGGGGGCACAGGGTGAAAGAAACTCTGCCCAATGTTTCTCGCCGGCACCTGGGATCGAACCCAGGACCACAGGATCACAAGTCCAGCGTGCTGTTCGCTCGGCCGACCGGCTCCCCTTAGTTGTTGCCACAAATATATTTTCAATTATTTGTATGAATTTCCAATGAGGTTTTGTTTTTGTTTTTATCGTATATGATGCATATTTGTGTCCTTTACAATATGTATACAATAGAACGTTCATAATGTTACATGGAACTGTGATAATGTGTTAGTAATGTGTCCACAATAAATGTTTATTGTGGCAATATTACTTGTTCAAAATTCACTAAAATTACAATATGTACAGTTTCACACACTATTTATACAGTAACACACTGTATTACACACTCAGTACTTCAGAAGTGAGTAATATTCAACGAAGTAGTCCATGGTGCACAGCGTGGATGTCAGCCACGAGGGAAGCTGTGTGAACAAATCAACTTGGAGAAGAGTGACCTTGATTTCTAACAATCGTGAAGATCCTTGTTTCCTGTTACATGGGATCGGAGGATGACAGTGCTGGTGCTGGCCTCAATTGACTTTTTGGAGACCCAAACCAGGACCTTACCAATGCAGGAGAGGGTAGCCAGGTAGTCACCATCTGTGGAAGGAGCTTCAACACCTGCACAGACCAGTTGGGACAAAACATAACAATCAAATCAACTGACTAAATTAGGTGGCAATGTATGTGAAAATCATCAGGGATGGTGGTACCAGCAGAATACAAGGTATCAAAATACATTGCCCTTGTAGGTGAACCAAAAATCAATTGAAGGAGCATGGAAAGGGACAGAAAAGCAGTGTGCGATTACCATGCACTTATCAAGCCTGATCTCGTGCCAGGCTTGGGGAGTAAAAACTCCCAGAACCCCATCAAGCCGGTATCAAGAAGGTATGCCAGGCCCCAGTTGCAAGGGAGGCACTTGTTCTCATTACAAACAAGTTAGGGATTGCATAGGGGCAATGAACTAGTCATCACATGTGACAAGACATTTACCACCAAGGATACAGCAGTGGTAAGGAAGGGTATAAGAAGGGAAAACCAAGGACAGAGGGTTAAGGCCAGCAGGAAGAAGGGGATCCAATCTTTCAGGCCGAACCGACTTGAGGGACTGATTGCCCAACACTTATAGAGAGAGGATGAGGGATGTTTTTCAAAAGGAGCAAATAAATTTGGATAATTCCAGTTTTCTCTGCTCCTTTTGACCACTTCCCTGCTCCACCAGCCACTATAAAGCCCAACAGGGGGAAGGTACAAGCATGGGGGGCAACTTCAGGAGTAACAAGAAGTGTGTATGCAGGTGACCACTAGCTGAATGGCAGTACAAGGGCCAATAGGGATACTGACCCTACAATGCTCACCTGGGCGGTGAGCCAAGTGTGAACCAGCCCATCAGCCAGACTCTTGGGGCCTCGCTAAACCTCATGTTTTACACCTATCCCACCAAAAGTGTCCCTATCCTGCAGTGCAGACACCATGTAAATGTAAAGGAAAAAATGGGAAATACACAGGTCTCCATGCACAGAAAATGTATGGGTGGTGAAACCACTGGGTGTAATGATGACCAGACCACACACTAGAAATTGAAGAGACGACGACGTTTCGGTCCGTCCTGGACCATTCTCAAGTCGATTGTCTTGAGAATGATCCAGGACGGACCGAAACGTCGTCGTCTCTTCAATTTCTAGTGTGTGGTCTGGTCATCATACTTCAGCCACGTTATTGTGACTCATCGCCTGCACTGGGTGTATTTTGCTGAACTGCATAATTGGCCATTTTATATTCACCCAGCACTTTACCCCTGTGAAGTTTAAACACAGATTTTTGTCAATAAGGTTTGGTATTGGTAAGTACACACACTTTATAATGGTTAATATTTTTTGTAGACAATCACTTTTATTATCATGTGGAAATTATTTCCAGAAACATCCAAAGAAAATCATTAAGGATAAACACACACACATTCAAATCAGATTTATTATAAAATGGCATGATTCAAGGTGATTAAAAAATGAAATCAAGGTAGTTTTGATAGTAAACTATCCTATGAAATGATGGAAACTGAAGTGCTGATGGATGCATTGTAAAAATAGTACATCACTACTCCTCTTAACACAGCAAATATGAGAAAAGAACTAACAATTCATCATGAATGATCAGACATCCTTAAAGCTTTACCGTTAATCTAACGTGTACTTAGAAGTCACTGATGATAAGTTCATCTATGCCCCAATCTTCAAAAGATCCGTCTGGCAAATATCTGCGAATGATGATGGGAATTTTCCGTTCCCTCAATTCTTTGGCAGCAATTTGGAGCGGATCCGATTCTGCATCAATTTCCACCATGACAGGTGCACACATTGCAATCTGCAGTGCTCTCGTACCCAATACTCTAGCTCTTTCATATCTGTCAGGGAGAAACAAACATACATCACACAAGGTGTTTTCTTTGACACCACAGTTGTCAAGTACCATAATTTAACCCCTGTTGTATACAGTACAGTACTCCATTACAACCACAATAGTGAAAAGGATATAAACATAATATTCAATGATGTTGGGCTCTGGGTGATGACATATGGCCAAAGTGGCACCATATGGGCGAGGGTATAGATTGAAAGAAAGGCACAAGCCACCAATGTGGCACACAAGACAAAGGGCTCCTCCTGGTACACACAACCATGAAATCCACAGAGCGCTATTATATCCATATTTGCATCATACATGTAAAACCCAGACAATAATTGTTTAAACTGTCATATGGTGATAACCAAAATCCAAGGGTTAATAAGAGGCAAATTAACCCAAGCCAAGAGGAAAACCCAGAAAAGTAGAGAACCCCAAAACAAGCAACTGCATGGAAAAAATTGGCAACCCTGACAATGATACACACACACCCAATAGCCAGTTCCAACCACCAGTTAGTTACTTTCCCACCACCAGATGGCATCTGTGGCAACCAAGGGTACCAATCATCTGACCACTTCAATCAGTTGCCATACAAAGGTGATCCTAAAAAAAAAATCCACCAGAAATAGACATCATTACGTTCAATGCATAGATTTCTGGAAGACCTCCTTTCAGTGGTTCCCCGAGGTATGTCACCAATGAGCACAAAGAAAAACAGGGCAAACAAGGGGAAGAGGGAAGAGTACCAGCCACCTAAGGGGACTCATCCTTGGATGAGCAAACTGATTCAGAACCAAAGGACCTCTTTGGAATCTCATCACCCTGTGAAGGTGTGCAGTCCCTTTACAGAGCTGGAAGCTGTCAAACCTTACAGCTAGATGAGAGCCAACAGAAATGCCACTGATAAGTAAAGATCCAGAACCAAAGGGGGACACAGAAACAAGAAGACAAGAAAAACAGGGAAATGATAGACCAAGGAGGTATCAGTGGAGAAGCAGCAGGCTGGAGGAGAAAATGCCATGTACAACCTCCAAAACAGTGAAGACATCTCTTGACTGATCCTCTGAAACGAGCTTAGCAGTGGCTACCAAGGAGCCAAAAGAACCATCCTGCCTGCAAATGTTTACTTTGGACAGGAAGGAGCCAAATCTTTAAAGAGAATGAAATCCCACCAACTCCAGTACGTACAGGCAAAAATATCAACAGTAATAGAATTGGGATTTGGAAATGAAACAACAGAATATTCCAGAAGCCTACAAATCCACAGACACAAAGGTCCAACTGCAGGCAGATGAACATCTCGCAAAGCCAACAGAAAGACGACTGACATCGATCATCATGTCATAGTGAACACAGAACATCTAGCAGGCTGGACACTCCAAGGAAACCAGAATACGAGCCACATTCAGAGCCTAGACCCACAAAAGTAAGGATCAAAGTAACTTCCCACTCACAGTTCAGAAACTGAACCACCAGAGAGCAAAGAGTAAGTGAAGGACACAGAGCCCATAGGCGGTAGAAGTTCAAGAATGCTGGTCACAAAACCAACTGCCTAGGTTCCAGTCATCCATAAACAGGTTGAATATAGGAGAAGGTAGCCATATACCCGAATCCAGAAAACTGAGAAGAGGTTTTAAAATGCCAAGCAAAAGACCACCAAAAACCAAACTCGGTCCATATCAGATGGACCAGAGGCAGGAGAAAGGGGCAACACCAACCAAGAAACCCCAACAAGGTCTTGCCAGGTCTGAACTTGTGATGGAACAAGTTAGAACTCTTGCCAATTGACCAACATCTGGATTCACAAAGTTACGCAAGTATTTACAAACATGTACATCTTTCCTCAATCTTTGATGGCTTTGGTTACATTTATTAAACAGTTTACAAGCATGAAAACTTCTCAATCAACTGTTGTTATTGTTATAAACAGTTTCCTGGTGCTTTAGACTCATTAATTGTTTAATAATTGTAAATAAAGCCACCAAAGATTGAGAAAAGATGTACAGGATCATAAATGCTTGCGTAACTGCTTCATGAATCAGGCCCAAGGAACCAAACCTTGCCAACCAGGAATGAACCAGATCTCTGGCTTGCAAACAAGCAGACTAGCTGGGTGGCCAAACTAGCCAGTTTTTGAAGTAGACCAAGACATGGATCTTAAAGATGAGAACCACAATCTACATAAAAACAGTAAAAGTACAGGAAGCCAGATGCAAACCATAGGGATAAAAATGAAAGCAGTAACCATGATGCATTACTACATTGCATACACCTAACCAGTCCCTGAACCTTGGATGAATGAGTATGTGCCAACACATGCCCTGAAGCTCTAGGTAAAATAATCATCATGGTTGATGCCCTTATCCACTTGCCCACCAATATATGGATAATATGGACATTTCCAGTATCCGACTGGAGCTTTGATACTGGAGCCCTAGGTTGAAGGAGCTGTCATCTGGTGGTAGGGAGTAACTAGTGGTTGGAACTGGCTAATAAGTGTGCTTGGTCAGGGTTACCAATGTTTTTTCACACAATCTTGTTTTGGGGTGCTCTACATTTCTGGTCATTTTACACTTGGCCTGGATCGATCTAACATTAATATCCCCAGAATCCCTCTGCCTCTAATGAGTGGACCAGATTCTGCTTCCAGTCATTGGTAGGTGCTGATAAGGGTACAATGAGGTATGTTAGGTCTGGACTTAATGTAGTGGCTGGCTCAGGGAGCCACCAAGTGGGAACCCTCCCAGAAACACACATGGCATCTCTTAATGGGTATATAAAATTGTGTCCCCATAATGTTACAAGTTATAAAGTGTAGCTCAATAACCAAAAATCTGAATTGAACAATTTAAAAAAAAAAACACTAATAATTGCACACGACTATGTACAAAGTACTCAATTCAATTTAATACAATTTGCCATACTTGGTCATATAAGGTGTCGTGATTCTCTTGAGCGTAGGCACTGGCTGACCTTCCCCTGCAGGTACCAACTCTGTCTGGTTATCATCATCCTGGGAGAGAAAATATACATCCCTTTTAGTTTCATGAAAATAATTTGCCAGAAGCCAAAGGCAAAAATACCCTTCACAGTTGACATGGATTAAATTAAATAAACGCCAGTTGTTAAGCAATGCTGTACAATGTATCAATAGAATCTAATACAGTATAACCAGAGCATATTTTTCATACATAATTATTATGCAGACGAGGAGTCACATGGCTGGTCATGGTCACATGACCATGCCCTGATGACCATGGCTGAAGACATGATGACCGAACCACACATCAGAAGATGGAAAAATGACTGTTTCAGTCCATCTGGGACCATTATCGAGTCATGTGATAATTATCACAATCAAAGAAGTCACATTAACATGACATATATCAATAAGAAAATAAACTGGAGCACCGAGATAACTCGAACCAGCGATCAAGCAACGCCCAGCCATTCACCTTACCACTATAAGGTGGTACACAACAAAATATAGTTCACATCTTCGTGACAAATATATATATTTGAGCATTCCTATGTTCTACACATTTTATTACGTCTCAAAAGAGACTGTTGGATAATATTACTGAAAAAAAGTATTGGAATAAAAATGCCAAAACTATCCATGCGGCAAGATCCACCACCCTGTCCTCTCACAAAGAGCGTCGCATTTCACTCGTATGCATTACATAAGGTCAAAAATTGTCGTACAGTAACTAGAAAATGGATGCGGCTCACGAAAGTGAAATACTATCCCGTTTTCTGTTTTGGGTCCTCCGATAGGTTAAGACACTTTAATTTGACCATTTTCTTGACATTGGGACACCTTAGGTCTCCCAACGTCAAGAAAATGACATTTTCATGTATGCAAGAAAGACGGCTTTGATGTGATGTCACAACGTCAAAGAAAATGACATGCAACGTCAAGATCCACAACGGGCTGGATCTCCACACAGCCACATCAAAAAGGGGCATTATGACTGCCTCAGATGCAGAGAAGTCTTGCCAAGGCCAAGAACCAATGGAAGTAATTCCACACCATTAGTCACCACCAACAGTACAATAACCAATGCAAACATTGCACAAAGATGGCCACAATTTGCCCCCACACACCAGCATCAGAAATGAAGAAGAATGCTATGAAACATGCAAGAACATCAAGTTTTTGGAGGTAGAGCCTCTGGGAAATCCACAGAACAATCGAAACAAGAGAAGAATGGGAAACCAGAATCGAACTGACTGATACCTGCTTGATGGGGTTCAGGGAGTTGTTCTCCTCCTCAAACCCGCCCCAAGGCCAGGCTTGACTTGTGAGAGCTTGGTCCAACAGGCTGTTGCTTGGAGCGGCCCGCAGGCCCACATATCCACCACAGCCTGGTTGGTCCAGCACTTGAAGAAAACTACTGTATCCAGTTTTCTCTTGAAGGTGTCCATGGTTGTAATGAGCTAACAGATAAAGCAGAACAGCAACAGGAAGTGGACAAAGATCTTCAGAAGCATGGTAAATGATAAAAACCTATGGCCAAGTTCCTTGTAAAAGGACAAAATGTGAATTACTGAGGCAGTAGTGTAAATAGAACAGCAGGAATTACAGTACAAAAACAGTCACTTACATCCAGCTCTAGTAATCAACTTGTTTGGTCAAGACACCACTGTACAGTACATACAAAACACCTGAAACAAATATTAAAAACATATGTGCAGTATAGAGGCTTACCTCCTCTCCTTGCAGGTCATCCAGATTCTCATCATCTTCTGCCTCCTCGAAGTCATCACCAACACTGTAGCAATTAAAATTATAGCTGGCATTGTAGCTTCAATAAGAATATAATAAATAAAAAACAAGTACAATAGAGCCTCGGTACTGTATGAATACAGTACATTTATGTAGAATAAGGGATCTCAAGCCAGGCATAATCAATCTATATAATTCATCAAATCAATCACACACACACTTGTTCTCTCTCTCTCTCTACCAGTCCCTAAGATTAACCAAAAACTACTTAAGAGTTACACAAAGAAAGAAGCGTTTTGCCTGCATACCACTAGGACCTGGTTGTGGCTCACTGCTTGCTTGTCTTACTAAGAATCTGTCTAGATACTTGTTTTTTCCCTATGTTTTAACACTTGTCTGTAGTGAGATGTCACACTGTTTCACTATGAATGATCTCTTGTTTTTCCTTTATCCTCTTCCTCAGCTTTTTTATCATCCTCACATCATCCTCTTTTTTCAACCATCATCTTAGGTTGAACTTTACCACTGCCTTTCTTGGAACTCATGACATGATATATAATAAGAACTTCAATGTTTAGAAACCAAAAAAAAATAAAAAAAACAATGAAATTCTTCACAAAGAATTCAAGCACGGTCATCACTAGGCGGGAGACACTGGTAAACTGAAGTGTGCCATGTGCTTGGTCGGCCCATACGTGTATCAACAAACTCGAGCACCGAGGCAAACTTAGAGTACAGAGTTGAATTTTTTTGAGCAATTGAGCTCCAGAACCGAAAAATTTGAAAACTGTCGTTCGGAAACCGAGGTTCCACCGTACAATATGTTGGAATATGTTTTATGGTCCTCATCCTTCCTCTAAGTACTATCAAAACAGGAGGATGGGCTGTATATTCAATTTCATAATCAATATGTTCATAATTTTGCAGCCTTGGTGGGGAGGGGAAGCAGCAATTCCCACACCAGGCTACAGAAATATAAATATATTGATTTACCATTTTATCATTTCAAGTGTTCCTACAACTTGTATATTGATTTCTAATGTATATTTGGTTCTAACAGTTTTATTTTAATTAAAACACTTTATCAAATCTCCCTCTTATTAGATACTGTACTGGTATTAAATTATAGAAAACAGTAAAAATAATAATAATAATAATAATAATAATAATAATAATAATTTATTTAGGAAAAGTACATACATAGTTGCAGAGTTACAGTACAAACATTGTTTGGTTTAAAGATACAGGTGTACATACAATTCCTAAAGCCACTAGTACGCATAGCGTTTCGGGCAAGGTGAGGTGGGGGGGGGGGGGAAACACAGACTAAAACTTAATAGTAATTGAGCTTAAAAGTATAAATTGCGTTGAAAGAAAAAAAATAATAAGAGATAAAAAAAGGGGGGAACATGGTAGAAAATAGCCAATATACAAGTTGGTCAACAAAGTTTTTTTTTTTAAATACTGTAGTAAGGCATGGGCTGACATTTAGAAGTGAGGATCTTTAATTTTTTGAAGAAATCTTTAATTGGTCTTAGCATGTTAATTGCAAGAACAATCCATCATGTTTACTGTAGCTACAGTATTCACATTTATCTGCATGGTGCAATAACATGTGGTTAAAAAAAAAATTACATATGGCCTATGCAATCATAAGCAAGCAATTATCAAAAGAAGGCACCAAGCTGGGGAGGCTATGTAATTACCTACAACGAATTATCAAAAGAAGGCACCAAGCTGGGGAGGCTATGTAATTACCTACAAGGAATTATCAAAAGAAGGCACCAAGCTGGAGAGGCTATGTAATTACCCAACTGTAGTTACAGGATGAGAGCTACGCTCGTGGTGTCCCGTCTATCCAGCACTGTCATATAATGCTTTGAAGGTACTGATGGTTTTGGCCTCCACCACCTTCTCGCCTAACTTGTTCCAACCGTGATTTAATGTAGCACAGTCAAAAGTGCAGGATATTCAAAAGGCACTAAATATCATTAAGGATGCCAATACGAGAATAAAAGCACATAAGGCGATCATCAAAGGCATCCAATTCACAGAGGGTACTGTATTATCGCGGGACAAGTGATTGCGAGAGACAGTTGGGAGGCAAGAGACACGCTTGTCCTGGAAGTCAGGACATTCAACAACGTTACATTAAGTGTCCGTGATTTCAACCAAGAGAAGTTACAAAATTCAGTTTGACCGTTCTCACTATTTTTATACATGTACAAAGTTCTTAGCTCTAAGAGCGTGTTTATTCATAAAAACCATGACTGGGAGTTATACATTTTTTTGCATCTAAATTTTGCACATATTTTGAAGGCCACACCGACAATTTTTTTACAGTAAACTATACTCTCAAACTAGATTTTTTATGAAAATGAACATTATGTCATTCTGAGCCCATAATGAATAAAATATAAATTGGTGAAATATTACATTTGTGAACTTAATTTGAAATTGTGAAATTTTCAGTTTTTGTTTTTGTGCCCATTATATTGATCCGTTAAAAAAAGTTGGAGCATTTATCATGTAGATTATGCACAACAAATTTCAATGTGTTTGAGGAAGGTTGATAACTTTTGCACCCAGCCCTTTAACCACTTAACTGCGTCAACCGAGTATTCTCGGTCGGTGGGAAACTACGCCAACCGAGAAAACACTCAGATTTTTTTTGAACCCATTCTAAATGTGTGCGTGGTTGGTTGTGTACGAAATGGAATGGAATGGTGTATCAATGCTGGAGCTCCAGGAACTCTCTCCTTGATAGTTAAAGAAGCCATCAGCGCCATCTGCCCGGCTAATATTCTGTATAAATAGGGCTATCAAGCTCTCCAAGATTCAGATTACTCCCGAGTGCTCTTGCCGAGTTGACCTGTTGACATGCCCCGGTGTGGTAACAGAGCTATTCAGTTTGACTCACAGTATTCCCACACCATATTTTCTAGTATTAACATAATGTAAATTTAATTGTCTGATTATCTTGTTTGTTTTGCACACTTTGTATTAAGGCCAAGCCTGGATATTTTTGTAATTTGTTTAAAGCAAGATTTCTATTAAAAAGTATTTTTAAATTTTTGTTCTGTATGTTTTCTCCTACAGTTAACCTCACAGTGAAGACAACTTGCAGTTTAACTTTTTTTTTTACTTTTATTTTTAATTTTGTGACAGTCATTCCATCTGCCTGGAGAAGACTGCAATAACACCTATTTTTTACCGTCACAATATATACAGGCTTCCTGACCCCAGCAATGGGAATTATAATTAAATTATATAAAGCATATAGTTTTTGACAATAAAAAAATTAGAAAATGGGTTTTGTCAGTGCCTGTGCACGACTGAATCACACACACTGGGTGCATAATAAATGAACTAAAAACTACACCTGGAAATAATTCCCCTACAATATGGCACCTGGAAATGGTTAATAATTATTCATTGTGTTGGGGACAGGCAGCCAGAGTATTCATACACGTTAAGCTTATATCAAGTAATTCGACCCCTGGGTCAAATTATTGGCCCCGGTCAGGATGCAACCCCACAAGCTGACAACTAGGTATCTACTTACTGCTAGGTGAACAGAAGCATTAGGCGATAGGAAACACGTCCAACTATTTCTGTCCCGCCCGGGATCCGAACCCGGAATTCTCAATTGTGCATCGAGAACGAACGTGCGTTTTGTGCACGTTTTTTTGTGCATTTTTGAAAACGAACCCGACTGTACTCCTGCAGCAGTCCCCGTGGTGCAGTGGTAACACTTGCCCAGCACTTTACAAGCACTTTGACTAGGGTTCATATCCTGGCCAGGGAAGATTGACTGGGCGCCATTCCTTAATGGTACGCCTCTGTTCACCCAGCAATGAATGGGTACTTAGTTGTTAAACGATTTAGCGGGTCGTATTTCGGTGGAAAAATTAGGATAAAGGACCTGCCCGAAATGAGATGCATGTTAGTGGCTTTACAAGAATGTAAAAACTCTTGTATATATAAATAAATAAAAAAAAAATGTGCATATGGAGAAGAATCTGGTCGAATACCGGTGCCACAGAAACGGTGTAAATAATGGCGAGTACAATTATCTTTAATTTACCTATCCTTACCCCCTTAACCTAAGGATATGTGCGATATTGAGAAAACCAGCCTTGTAGTTACACCTGTAATTACCCAAGTGAAGTTACAGGAGAGCTACGTGGTTTGACCGTCTCCACCACAATGTTACTTCCTACGCCATGTTTACATATATAAACCCACTTACTCATCACCATCGAACTCCTCGTCAGCCATCTCGCGTTCCTGTTTGCACCAAGGTCTTCTCCCAGCTATAAGCAGGACTCGCGTGGCCGTGTGTGACGCAGCGCTGACTGAGACGTGACGCAACTACCACCTCCCGTCCCCAAGACTCACTGAGGCAGGTCTGCTCTGCCCAGGGTTGCCAGATCCAAATTGCTAAAAGTAGCGAGCTTTCAAAAAGTAGCGAATTTGCAAGTAGAGTAGCCCAATTTTTTGTTTAGTCAAATCGAATCAAATCAAATGTTTATTCAGGTAAAAGTACATACATACAAGATGAGTTACAAACATAATGTTAGATTTCTAGATAGCGACAGTACATACAGACAGACGACATTCAAATTTAGTAAGTTTATCTTCCTTCTTTGATAGAACAGACTTGATGTTCATCTGCTGATGACTTACCTCCGATATATTTTGTCTGTGTTATAATGTTTCACTCCCCGCGGGTCCCTCCTCACCATTTGGTCCGGGAGACATCTCCCGTCACGCAGGGTGCAGTCGCACCTCCACAGATCTCCAGTATCAGCTCCTGATACTGGTAATGGCTTAAAATGGCCACCACTTACGGGCTATTTATGCCCGTGCCACCTTTTGGGTGGCTTCATCTTCATCTTAAACACATTCACAAGGGAGACATCTCCCGTCATGCAGGGTGCATTCGCACCTCCACAGATCTCCAGTATCAGCTCTTGATACTGGTAATGGCTTAAAATGGCCACCACTTACGGGCTATTCATGCCCGTGCCACCTTTTGAACATAAGAACATAAGAACAAAGGTAACTGCAGAAGGCCTATTGGCCCATACGAGGCAGCTCCTATTCTATAACCACCCAATCCCACTCATATACTTGTCCAACCCGCGCTTGAAACAATCGAGGGACACCACCTCCACCACGTTACGCGGCAATTGGTTCCACAAATCTACAACCCTGTTACTGAACCAGTATTTACCCAAGTCTTTCCTAAATCTAAACTTATCCAATTTATACCCATTGTTTCGTGTTCTGTCCTGTGTTGATACTTTTAATACCCTATTAATATCCCCCTTGTTATGTCCATTCACCCACTTGTAAACCTCTATCATGTCGCCCCTAACTCTTCGCCTTTCCAGTGAATGCAACATAAGCTTTGTTAATCTTTCTTCATATGAAAGATCTCTAATTTGGGGAATTAACTTAGTCATCCTACGCTGGACACGTTCAAGTGAATTTATATCCATTCTATAATATGGCGACCAAAACTGAACTGCATAATCTAAATGGGGCCTAACTAGAGCAAGATATAGCTTGAGAACCACATAAGAACATAAGAACAAAGGTAACGGCAGAAGGCCTATTGGCCCATACGAGGCAGCTCCTATTCTATAACCACCCAATCCCACTCATATACTTGTCCAACCCGTGCTTGAAACAATCGAGGGACCCCACCTCCACAATGTTACGCGGCAATTGGTTCCACAAATCAACAACCCTGTTACTGAACCAGTATTTACCCAAGTCTTTCCTAAATCTAAACTTATCCAATTTATATCCATTGTTTCGTGTTCTGTCCTGTGTTGATACTTTTAATACCCTATTAATATCCCCCCGGTTATGTCCATTCATCCACTTGTAAACCTCTATCATGTCACCCCTAACTCTTCGCCTTTCCAGTGAATGCAACTTAAGCTTTGTTAATCTTTCTTCATATGAAAGATTTCTAATTTGGGGAATTAACTTAGTCATCCTACGCTGGACACGTTCAAGTGAATTTATATCCATTCTATAATATGGCGACCAAAACTGAACTGCATAATCTAAATGGGGCCTAACTAGAGCAAGATATAGCTTGAGAACCACACCAGGTGTCTTGTTACTAACGCTGCGATTAATAAATCCAAGAGTCCGATTTGCCTTATTACGAACATTTATGCATTGATCCTTTTGTTTTAAATTCTTACTAATCATAACTCCCAGATCCCTTTCGCAATCCGACTTCGCAATCACAACACCATCTAGCTCGTATCTTGTAACTCTATCATCATTACCTAACCTCAGAACTTTACATTTATCAGCATTAAACTGCATCTGCCAATCCTTTGACCATTTCAAAACCCTATCTAGATCAACTTGAAGAGATAGTGAGTCCTCCTCCGAATTAATTTCCCTACCGATTTTCGTATCATCGGCAAATTTGCAAATGTTGCTACTCAAACCTGAATCTAAATCATTTATATATATTATAAACAACAGAGGTCCCAGGACAGAGCCTTGAGGCACTCCACTTACAACATTTTCCCACTCTGACTTGATTCCATTTATACTAACTCTCTGTTTCCTTTGGTATAGCCATGCCCTAATCCAGCTTAATATAGCACCCTTTTGGGTGGCTTAATCTTCATCAATCATCAATCATGTTTCACTGTGTTTCTTTAAACCACTTCTATGAGCTCTTATCTCAGTTCTACAAACTTTACAATATGCCTTATTTCCATCTTCTTTCACTTCAGTCAACCACTTTCAAACACGGGATCCTTAAGCCAGGACATCTACGGCGCTTTCTGGTATTTAGACCACTTCCCCATTTTACACTTCTTTATCTTAACACTTAAGCAAATTCTAAAAGTAACAGCGGTAACTTCTTTTCTATATACTGTAATTTGTGTCGAACTATCCTTCTGGAGGTCAGAGCCACATTAACAATGCAAGCACAGATGAAGCTGCCAAGTTCACTGTATGCTAATCCGCTCTAACGACAGTCATTTGATTCTTGGAAACACCTAAAGAGAAACCTAATATTTACAGTAGGCAACAGTGGGAGGTCACTTAACATAGACAGTACACGGGATGAAATATTAATGGCAATTAAGGTTGGGAAATCTATAGGCCCTGGGGAGGATTATCTTGCCTTGCGGTTACTTTTTCTTTGGGAAGTTCAAGTTCAAGTTCAAGTATGTTTATTGAGATAAGCAATAAATACATCTCAAAGGGATAGAGTAGCTTAGGCTATTTCTACTCCCCTCTACTTCAAGTCCCTCAAGGGACGCACAAATTCAGTGAGTACAAATAGACAAATAACATTACAAGAATCCCATTTAACATTGCAGGTTTATATAGTAAGTACAGCATATAATTGTTACACTCTCGGGGCAAAATTCTTGTAGCTCCTAAGTATACTGTCGATCATACCATTATCACACATCCAAACAATTTGATGTGGTACACTATTTATTTCCTTATTTCTATAGTTTTCAATAAGTTGACACTCTAATACATAATGTTCTAAGGTGTGGGCGTGCGGCATACTACATAATTTACACTCCTTATCTTTTTCACTGACATCAACACCGTATTGCCAGATATATTTGTATCCTAATCTTAATCTCATGTAAATTGAATCCTTCCAAGTAGACTTTCCTTTACCATAAGTGAAGGACAAATTTGTATTTATTATTGAATAATTCTTAAGTGTGTTACTACTGTCCACCATTGCCATTCTCTTTATCATTTCTTCACCCTCCTGGATCATCTTGATTCTTGTTTTTATTTGCTTCAAGGTTAACTGACATACAACATCAACAAGAGTTTTTTCAGTGGCTCTCTTCGCTATGTCATCAACTACCTCATTCAACAGTATTCCCACATGTGAAGGGATCCACATGAATCTTACTTTATACCCAGTTTTTTCTAGTCTCTTAACATTCTCTCTACACTCTATCACAATATTCTGGTATACTGGGCGTCTGCTATTTAAAGACTCTAACGCTCCTCTGCTGTCAATAAAGAAGCAAGCATTTTTACCACATTTGACTACTTCCTGTAATCCTGCTAATACTCCTTGGAGTTCAGCCTGCGTTGAAGAGACATTGTCAGTTAAGCGGCGTCCAATAACAGTATCTACAATGCCGATGTCAGTGTACTCCCTGATCAAGACTCCACATCCTGCCTTCCCATCCCTAGCTACTGACCCATCACAATATACATGTAGAGTGTTTTCTGTAGGCAGTTTTCTAATTATACAATCATATGTTGCCCTCAGCTCTCCTATTTCATACATACTTTTTTTCTTATGCAAAGGAGTAATTACTACATCTACATTACAATCCTCCCATGGTGGTGTAAATTTTCTCTTGGGCACAGCAATACACTCTGTAATAACATCATACTTTATAACATTATAACATAAGAACACTGTTTTTCCCAAAAACGGTGGGTTTTCTGAGGGAAGAGAACGTATGTCTGGAAGCTGACTTTAACCGCCCCAAGCTGCGCGCGCTTACGAGCCGAGGTTATATAAACCCGGACGCAGACGGCGTGGCCCTCTTCCCGACAAACCAGCAGCTGCTCTCTTACAAAACTTTTCTTCCAACCTCAGAAAAATTTATTCATATATACTCTCTTCATCATACACTGTTCACTACTTCCCACCTTTTGAACCAAGAGGATTAATTCATTAGCTCCCCCACCTCTCATTAATCTAATGGCAGAGGCTACATTTATCTCTTCAATTCTATTCCCAATACTCTGCAGATTCAACTCCATCCTCATTATCTCAATCATAGCATTTCTTGGGCATCCTAAGATAATTCTCATGGCTTCATTTTGTACCTTCTCCAACTTCTCTTTGTTCAAGTTCAAGTATGTTTATTGAGATAAGCAATAAATACATCTCAAATGGATAGAGTAGCTTAGGCTATTTCTACCCCCCCCCTCTACTTCAAGTCCCTCAAGGGGCGCACAAATTCAGTGAGTAACTTCTCTTTGGGAAAGTTCAATTCAAGTTCAAGTATGTTTATTGAGATAAGCAATAAATACATCTCAAAGGGATAGAGTAGCTTAGGCTATTTCTACCCCCCTCTACTTCAAGTCCCTCAAGGGGCGCACAAATTCAGTGAGTACAAATAGACATATAACACTACAAGAATCCCATTTAACATTGCATACAGCAAGTACAGCATATACAGCATATAATTCAAATCTAAATTGTAAATAAATAAATCTCAATTGTTACATTCTTGGGGCAAAATTCTTGTAGCTCCTAAGTATACTATCTATTATACCATTATCACACATCCAAACAATTTGATGTGGTACACTATTTATTTCCTTATTTCTATATTTTTCAATAAGATGACACTCTAATACATAATGTTCTAAG